TTTGGAGTGTGTTTGGGTTTTGAAGTGAAGTTTTAAAGTTCAAAAGTTACTGTGAGTCCGTCAATGGAGCCTGATGAAGCTTTTAGAGAGAGAGAAAGGAAGTAGACGACATATTTTGGAAGAAGATAGACGTATTTTGGATACAATATTTAAATGTGTTTATATATATGGAATACAATATTTAAAGCTTTTATATATGAAATACAAAGGTGGTGAAAATTTAGTTACCCAAAATTTTTAATTGATGTGGCCAATTCTTCTCCACTTATTCCAAAATGGTGAAAATAACCTACTATTTAACTGGAGGTGATATTCACCCGGCACATTACCTACAATATTACACATTGTATTTAATAGTTTAAGGTACAAAAATGCATAGGTATAACTGTTATTTTTTTGTTTTCTATCACCAAGTCACAATAAAAAAAACCAATTCATACAAAATATTCATGAAAGTGTTTTGGAAAATAAAATAAAATGAGTCATCAGGCATAGTAGTATTGGCAGGGATACGGGAAGTAAATTATTGAGGTCTCGCTTTTGAACCGCACTCTTGACTTGAATGGTACATGTGTTATGAAACCGATATACGTTCTCTAAGATAAATAATAAATAAAAAATAAAAAAAAAATGACTTAAATTTTGTAAATACACTCTTAAATTCTGATATCTTATCAAATTTATGTTGGAATAAACATGTAAATTGAATAGAACAAAGTTTTAATCCGAATCAGTCCAATGTAATTTTGAATATTCAACTACAAAGTCAAACAAATTGGAATTTGTAAAATAAAACAATGGGTTGAGTAGTTCCAAATTATTCATAACCACAAATAAATAAAAAGCAAAGGTTGACTTCTTCGAAATTATTCCATCCGTATTCTAAGTTAACAATTCAAAATGCCAGAAGACATCCTCTTCCTTTGTATTCTTCTTCTTCTTATTTTTTATTTTTTTATTTTTTTATTGTTGCTTATTTTATTTTATTATTGTTTTTTTTTTATTATTGTTAGTGAGTGACTAAAACACCCATGAAAGGAAGGTCCAACCACACCATTGCCATCGGTAGAAAATTTAAAGTTGGTTACTGGACCTGTATGTGGTCAATTAGGACCATAAAATTGCTTTCAAAAATTTAAAATCAGGATTGATTGGTAAAGAGTTGTTACAAAAAATTTCTTAATACTAAAATTAAATAAGCCCCCTATTGGAAATTAATTGGATGTATTTGATTGTTATTTTCAGGTAACTTATATACTTGAGTAGGTGACTAATTTCAGCACTGAGTCTGAGTTTAAGATCACATTTCATGTTACTCTGATGTGACTTAAATGATTATATACAAACATGATTTTTTTTTTTTTTCTTTTCACCAAACCAAAGCAACAATATATTAAAATGGAGAACAAATACAATCAAGGAGTAAAACATTTAATGGTCATTGGGATCATATCCTCCATTTCAAATCGCCACACTCGATTATTAGAGCTTTTTTACTAAGCAAATGAGCAACCACATTGCCTTCTTAAGGCACCCAAGCTAAAGAAGCACCTTTACAAACCATAAAAAGAGAAATAACATCATTAAAAATTACACATGTTACATGAAGCCTCAGTAAAGCGCAAAAGATGTATCACCGGCTGACAACCCCCTTCCACCACAATATTTTGATAACCCCATACTTTGAGAAGAGAGAGGCATTCGTGGAGAATTAAGCCTTCTGCAATGGGCGGGTACCTTAATATGATTTAGGCGTATTTGGTGTTAAAAATGAGGAAGAAATGGAAACAAAATAGGATAAATAATGAGGGATATTAATTTACTCACTTAATACTATTTTAACTATCCTCCGGGAAGAAAAGAAAAGAAAAAAAAGATAAAGGAATCAATTATTACCCATTTTGCCTCTTTTTTTATAACAAATGAGTTCTTATTCATCTTTTTCAACAAGACTTGCCGATTCAGCGGTGAGAAACAAATGAGTTCTTATTCATCTTTTTCGACAAGACTTGTCGATTCAGTGGTGAGTAAGTCATATCGCTGATGTGTTCCAATTATAAATGTACAAATAGTTTGTAATTAAAAAATTAGGAATATTTTTTAGAATAAATTCAGTCACTCTCTCTAACTTCTTTATTTATCACTTTTCTGATTTTATAATTACATATTATTTGTACATTTATAATTGGACCACATCAACAATGAATAGTCTTGTCCTATTTATTCCACTAACATATTAAAAAAAAATTATATCCTTTCCAAAAAGAAAGGGTTGCAATTATCTTTTTTATTTTCTATCTAAATACGAAAATTTGTTATGTTGTCATTTTCACTTCTTTCTTTTTTCTTTTTTCTTCTTTTTTTAAACATTAAACAATGCTATCATACTTGATATTTAATTAAAGTTTTTAAAAACGGAATGTCACTAATTATTGTTTTTAGGTGACTTAACTGAGTATGAGAGTCTACCATGTGTTATACAATGATGTAAATTACAACACTGACCTGTTTTGAGGTTTGGGCAAATTATATCTATATAAACAATACGTGGTTTATTAATTTGACTTCCTCCAAACCTAATTATTGACTGCCAAAAAAAAAAAAAAAACTAATTGTGAAAAGTCAGTAATAGGCAGGGTTGGCTCAATATAATTTAATATCTGAGGCAAAAAATATAAAAATAGCCTTTAAATATATAATATATAGTCAATCCAATTAATATTTCTTGTTACATAATTGATCTTAGAGTTATATAACTTATATTTAATGAAAAACGAGGAAAAAATATGTTAGAATTAAGAAGGGGGTAAAAAAAAAACAAACAAAGAAGATAAAAGTTAAAATAAAAATATATAAAATAAAGTTGTACAAATTTCAGAGAAAAAAAAGAAACGCGAAGGAGGAGTAGATAGAGAAAAAACAAGAGTTAAGATAAAGATAAAAAAAAAAAATTAAGAAGGGTATTATATAAGGAAATAAAAAAAAAAAAAAAAAAAAAAATTGGAGTCTTTCTGTTGGGTAAAGTTTAACAATAAGAATGAAATAACATCTTTAAGAAGGTTATAATATAAACAAATAACATTTTTTTGAAAGTTATAATATAAGGAAATAAAATTTTTGAGGGCCTTTATATTGCTAGAGTATGATAATATGAAGGAAATAAAAATTTTAGGAAAAATATGATATAAGAAAATAAAAAGAAAAATTAAGGTCTTCCAATTGGTTATGCTTTAGGCAACCGCCTGTCACCTAAGGGTCTAACTGTCTCGAGTAATACCGTAATGTTTATATAAATGAACAACAAAATTATTATTTTATAAAATTTGATTCATATATCTATTAAAAAGAAAATATTAAATTTAATAAAAAAAATTTCTTTCGGTACAAAAATTTTCTTCTAAGAGTTAATGGTTAAAAGAGCCGCCTAGAGAGCAATCCCAACCATTGGACGCTACTTGTGTGTAAATTTGTATGGACCACGTCGGTTACTTTTGGGTGACTACTTTTGGGTGAGTAGGATACCATTAAAGCTTGTTATATACTTTTTAGGAGACTTAATTGACTTAGCTTATTTGCATTGAATTTGAAAAAAAATTAAAAAATTTGTGAGGCCCGACTTGAACCAATTAATTTATGTAGAAAATTTCAAGGGTGAGTGGGGAGATTGAATAGGTAGTACTTGTTAATGCATGATTGGAGGCTTCAAAGTTGCCTACCCATGCCCGCATTCATCGCCTTTTGCACGTTAACACCTAGGACCCTCGGAACAAAAACTACATGAAACTAACAAAAACTAAGCAACAAAATAATACATGTTTGTATGTATATGAATGTTACATGCTATATATATATATATCGGTGTGGCTATTTCCAAGCATTTTTTTTTTTTTTGTCCACTCCCTCTTTTTGGACAAAATTACTATTTTGGAAGTCATTAGAGATTATTTAAGCAGCAGCAAACAAAAAAACTATCGTTTATTTTGATGCAACTATGCATATTATATTATATATCACATGATAATGCGATAATATGCGTGACAAAGATCGGATGGATAAAAGTTTGGATTTTTAAGAGTTTGGTTAGCGGAAAAATAATTGTTTTTTGAGAAAAAATCACTTTTCATAACTAATTATTTTTCCCATAAAATTTTCTTCCTAAAAACACAAGAAAACTTTGATTTTTTGACAAAATTTTGTGAACTTACAATATTATTCTTTCTTTTATGGTAAGTTACATATTATTCAAACCTTAAAATGGTAATTTTACATAATTGGTATTACAATAAAGAAGCGAGTGATTTACCCCTAAAAATAAATAAATAAATAAGAGAAGGTTTTAGATGAAAATACAATTTATTTATTTATTTTTTATTTTTTATTTTTACAATAATGGCCTATGCTTCATGCGGAGTAAAAGAAATAAAAATGCTTCATGCGGAGTAAAAGAAATAAAAATACGCTGCGAAAGAGTTTAAAAATAAATTAAATGAGGAAGAACTACACAAAAGAAAGAGTTTTACAAGGTTATATAATAATAATGGTTTTTTATTATTTATTTCTCTCTAAGATTTTACAAGAAAGAAAATCATATGAAATTTCAATTGGTTGACAATGTTCTAAGAATTCTAGAAAATATATATATATATATATATTTTCTTTAAAAAAAATTAAAAGAAAGAGTCCCAAAGATAACTTGATTTATTTCTCTCACTTGGGACATGGTTAATTAATAGTTATCTACTATCTGTTTTTTATTTTTTTTGGTTACAACTGATATCAATGAATCAGATTTACCTTTCTATCCTAGAAGAACATGGAAGTAAGAGGAGAGAGGATTGTCGGTAGTTTGTTGTTCCCAAATGAAGGGTAATTCTGACTTTTCATTGTAAAAATATGAATAAGTAAATAAGGGTGGGGAAATAGCAAAACACTTATAAATCTATATATAAATAATATAATATCTATATAAAAATATATAATAGAAAGCTTTGAAAAGTCGAAAAAGAGAGAGAATAGGAAATGAAAGATTGAAACTTGAAAAGCGTTTGATTTTGTGTGCTATTCTCTCTCTCCTCTTCACACTAAACATCATGGGATAGAAATCTCCGCGTAATATTACATCTCTTTTACAATTCAAACGTACCCACAATACCGGGACTCGGTCCAATGCCATTTCTCTCTCCTATCGCTTCCCTGTACGTTCTCTCTCTACTTTCTCCCACTTACGTTTCATTCAAGACCCATCGTGGTTTCTACTTCTAAAAAAAAAAAAAAAAATTATTTTTTGTTGCTTTTTTGTGCATGCATTCAGGTCATCTAGTCTTCTTATATTTCAGACTGAGTTTCTATTGGCCTTACTGTTTACAGATCTTGTGATCGCTGAAATTATATATATAGCTGACTGTATATGTATAGTTTTGGTGATTTTGGGCCTACCCTTTTAATTAAAAGTCGCTCTTTTGTCTTATTTGTTGTGGCACATCTGACTGTTCTTGAATGCTATATGTTTCAGGTAATGGTTTTTGAAATTTTAATTTAATCAGCTGTTTCTTCAGTTTTTCAAAGGTTTGTGACTCTGTTTTCTCTCCGTTCTTCTTCTCTGTTAGGGTTCATTTAGTTTCTTTAATTATCTTCTTGGAATGTTTTTTCTCGAAAATACGAATGGGTCTGTCGGTCGTAGTATTTGTTTTTGTCTTGAGTTGGGTCGCTATGGGTATTTGTTGATTGGGTCATCTTTAGATCTTGAAACTTTGAATTTTGGGGTTTGCTCTTTCTGTAATTGGTTAAGTTGAATTTTGAATTTGAGTGATGATCATGTTCTTTTTCTCTATCTCTGGTCTCATATGCTTGAATAGAAGGTGTGCTTGCATTACTTTCTTGAAATTATGCCTCTTTGTTGGATGGGTTTTCAATTCCGGGTCTGTTTAGATCCCTGAAAGTTTGAATTTGTTAACCCGTTTGGATTATCATAATCTCAGGTTTTTGTAATAGTAATTTTAATTATTAAAGACTAAGAAACTTTTTAGTCCTCTTTTCTCTTTCAACCGGGCACTCTTTTAGTTTCTTTCTTCTTCAATTTCGCCTTATTTATTTATTTTAATGCTATATATTTTATGTGTTTTCATCAGGCTTCCACTTATCAGTGGTTATTTTTTGTTGCAGCAGATTACACCAAATTTGCAGTCAAGGAGGCTTCTTCTTTGATCATTGATTTTTAGTTTGATTTTTATATCTGTTAGCATTGAAGAAATTTTGCGAATGTTAAATTTTAGCAGGACAAGAACTCAGCCAAGGTCTACAAGATCGATGTCATTAGGAGGTCAGGTTTCCTTTCAATTTTTTGATTAATTTGCATCTGTGTATGTGTGCGTGTTGATATTATATAATTATTTCTACATTTTTTTCGCTCACTGTTTGGATCAATTAAATTTGTTACTTAAAGAATGAAGTTTGGCATTTTTAAATAATACTGTATACTTATTCAGCGTTTTGTGTATAATTTCTATACGTAAACTGAATGATAGACCATGGAGTATTAGTTTTTCGGGGTCATATAGATTACAAATAAAAGTATTAAGGCCTGTTTACTTAATTTCAAGGTGGTTGGTGGGTAGGTCCATAGAAATAACATCTGCAGCTAATGGTTAACATGGTGTGGATTAATTCTTTCTTTTTTTCTGACTGCATAAGAACTCAGTCAACCATAAACTTTATAGATGATATATTTAAATTAAATTTATAATGTTACGGGGTTGTAAGTGTTTTGTCCCTTTTTTGTTTGTAGGTATGGATTATGCAGATCCAAAGAAGAAGAACAATTTACTAGGAAAAATTATTTTGGCTGCTTCCCTCACAGCACTATGCATTCTCATGCTCAAGCAATCGCAAACGTTTAACACCCCAAGCCCAGTAATTCTCTGATCCCATTCAGTACTCAGTTTAAATTAATTTTGGTATAATGAATATGCATAGAGTACTATTTCTCGAGATTTAGTTCGTTTTTTGTCTTTATTGTTATTATTATTATTTATTGAAAGTCGAGTTTTCATTCCAACATAACAACTCATTGCTTATTCTTTCAATGATCTAATTTATATTGCCTATTTATGTTTTGGTGAGGTCTGGAGTGGAATATGGAAGCATGTACTATTTTAGGACAGGATTATATGAATTATGAATTTAGTAAAATACTGAAATGTCAAAAGATCTCCATTTACTAAACTTCGTTGGATTCAAATATGCCAAGGGAATTAATGTCAATATTAATTTATTATCATCATCGTTCAGCTAAATACGTACAAGATTAAGCACTTACCAACTTATCACACATTCAACAATTTTTTTATCTATGATATGCTTGACAAAGGATTTTCCCCGACAAGACACTTGAATTTTGTTTGAGAGTGCATGTTTGCTTATCTGTTTCAATGAGTATTTGCATTGCGTCTGTAGTATGTAAGACAAATTGTTAACGGAACAAACTCTGGTTACTGTGCAAAGGAGTTATGCCCTCAGTTCAATCATTCATGTATTTTTGCTTTTCCTTCAGCACTTACTTTTCTTTTACTTCTTGATAGATGGGAAAACTCAATCTATCATTGATTGAGCTTTGTTTTTACTTTTTTCTTTTTTTGGGTTTTATTTTGTAAATAATTTGGTGTTCTCATCACCTTGCTTTTCTCTTTCCAGATTATTTTATTGTTGTCCTTGATTGGAATGATTATTTTTTCTTCTCTGTTAACAACCATCTACCCTAAAAGCTTAAGCTGTTAGAGAGGGTGTAACTTTAATATTTATATCCTTCAACACGGCCCCTCACATGTGGCCTTCATTTGGTCCAACACGTGTTTCAATTTTAATTATCAGAGTGACGGTGAGGTTTGAACACAGGAACTTGTTTGCTCTGATATCATGTAAACAAAAATCTACTCTAAAAGTTAAAGCTGTTAGAGATAGTGTAACTTTAATATTTATGTGCTTCAACACTGTCATTTTCACTTATACATACACCACTTGATTTCCAAGATGTAGGAAAAAAAGTGGAAATTTTCACTTCAACTACTGGTTGCTGTTGGAGTACTTTTTATTGCAGTGTCTTCTTAACTAACAAATGGATTTGTCTTTTTTTTAATCTGACACTGTTTATGCTCTTTTATTTTGTTTCCTTCAAGTTCTCCCTACATGAATCAGGTGTCACTCATGTTTTAGTGACTGGAGGTGCTGGCTATATTGGTTCACATGCTGCTTTACGACTTCTGAAGGACTCACACCGTGTAACCATAGTGGTATCTCTCTATCTATCAAAATATGTAACATTATCCAGTTCAAATTATTTGCTGTCCATAAATCCTACTTAGTTGATATGTTTATGGAAAAAATTTCCTTGTATGATAGGATAATCTCTCTCGCGGAAACCTAGGTGCCATCAAGGTTCTACAAGAATTATTTCCAGAACCTGGGAGACTTCAGTTCATTTATGCTGACTTGGGGGATGCTAGAGCTGTATCCTGATCACAATTTTCCTTGGAATATATGTTTTCTTAAGATGTTTATTGCTGAAAAAATTGAACATGTTTTGTGAATTTTGTCTCCTTAAACCATTGTTACAGGTAAACAAAATATTTTCAGAAAATGCATTTGATGCTGTGATACATTTTGCAGCTGTTGCATATGTTGGAGAAAGCACTCTTGATCCTTTAAAGTAAGTATTATTAACTAACATATCCTGTTCATATATTTGTCGAACTTGCAGCTATCATATGTATAAAGTTTATGTACAGATGTGCATACATTTTGCCATGGAAAGTTGATTTTATCACCTTTTCACATGTGGCAATGGTTAGTATGATTAATAAATTTTAAGTTTTGAGTTTAATGCAAGTTTTAAGGCTAAGTTTGGATGGTGAAGACTGAAGTTGAATTTTGAAGTTGAATGATTAATTGTTTTCTTTCTATTTTGAAAAATGATTTTTCTGGAAGCCCAAAAAAATGAAAAGATCCAAGAAAGTGGATATGATAGTAATTTTATGGAATATCTTTTCTTGATATGGAAGTCCATGTGCCACTGAAAGATCAACCTTATTTTGTCTTACAATTTTCGTCTGCATTATTTTTTAAAAGAAGAGAATGTAAAAGAGAGATGTATTAAGTCTTTTAAATTTGTTTGTCTTGTTACTCTTGTTTGAAGACTTTATACATTGATTAACATCTTTTGATGTAGAAACAATTCCCAAATATTTTGATGGGATGTCTCAGATAAAAATTGTTGAAATGTGTAATAAGTTCTGTAGAGTAAGGAAATGAAGATCTGTTATCACTGGAAAATATTTAGAGATCTCCAAGTATTCTCCTTTGATCCAAGTAGTTTTACCCCAGCAGTTATTAAAATTTTTGCTGACAACTCTGGTCTGTAAGGAAATGAAGCATAGTGTCAGGTTTGCGGAAACTCTTTTTTTTTTTTTTTTTTATGTCATAATTTATGAATTTTCATAGAATTTCCTTGCAGCACACTTTTGGAAATTTAATGTGGTAAAAGAAGGATAAAAACTTTTTTTATACCATATGAGGGTATACGTCTCTTCAAGCAAAGCTGGCTTTTGATTAGGCTTGGGCAGGATCAATTAGAGACAGCGTTGTGCAAAGAATCTGTTGGGGTAAAGCTGGTCAATTATATGCATAGTGATATTGAACAAGGCAGAACTGCAGTTGTGTTGCTGAGTGTAGGCCCACAACTTGCCGTCCTGTATCGAAACCTACTAACCATGTATATTATAAATGCTTTAAAGCAGTGTCATAAAATTACGTTTATAGTTTAAAATATAATGACTTTGATATTGCCTTTGATCAGGCTTGGCCCTTAAAAGACAATGCTGGACCTAGGTCTAGCCCTACAAGTATTAAATTAATGCTAGCAATAGCAATGTGACCAATGTCATATTCTTTTAGTTCCGAGTTTTAATGGAAATCAATATATAGATAGTACATCGAGTTGTAGAAGCAAAGATTTGGTTCATACTGATTAATTGTTTGTCACAGCCGAGCCCCCAGATATTTGGGTTGGGATTATGGAGAAGGTTGGTCCATTTGGTCCTTAAGACCCTAAGTTGGGGTAGTGTAGCGTAAGTGATAATAGTTGTGGTCATTTTAAAAAATATTGATCTAAAGTAGCAAAGGATGGTACATGATCATGTGTTGGAAGTTGGAACCTAAATAGTTGGGTTTCTTAGTTGGCTTGAATAACTTTTTAATATGTTATCCTGTGCCAAGTTGTCGCTGTTTGCAGCAAGTTTTCTAAGAATTGCTCTACTGAGAAAATGGGTTTCATAACAGATATTCTTTGTTTTATAAATTGGAAATGCTTCTTTTATTGTTAAAAATTTAGGAACGGGGAAATGGGACAAAATAGAATTTGGTTAGTAATGGAGTTAGAGAGTACCATTTGGAAGCAAAAGAGACATAAAAAGATATTTTAATGAGATGAAAAAAGAATTTTTCTGAAAGTAGAACTTATGTTCTCCAAGTATCACTATCATCAGGAGTACATCACCTCCTTGAAGGATGTGGGGAGGGTTTAATTGTATTCGAACTCACTTTAGATGTGTTACATTGTTCTGTCATGGCTTACAAATTGGTTTACTCAATTATTGTACTCAAAAAAGAAACATAAATTGATTTACTTAAATTATTGCTAATAGGTATTACTCTATTTTACAAAGAAATGAATGACAAGATAGCATAGCCAAATAATACATCAGAGCTATTGGGGATTGGTACATCAAATATGACGGCACTACTGTTGTACACACAATTTTTTGGGGAAAACGATTACTGTTTCACATTTAACATATTTTTCAGTTAATTTCAGTAGCTGCGATCTGAAGAAGCTTTTTCAGTCAGTCAGTCAGTCATTTATTGCTTGTGATGTTGATTTTCCAGTACAATAGTAAGTCTGAATATTGGTGGAAGCATAATCTTTATATATATATATATATATATATATATATTAATTGATCTATAAATTGTTTTCATTTTCACTTGGCTAGAGTCTGATATGTTTAAGATCTTAAGAGTGTCTTTCCAATCTTTTTTTGTTAAGGCTGTCTTTCCAACCGCAATTATATTTTATCATTTTATTGCTGTAGTTTGCTTTTGTTTCCATTAAGACTATTTGGAGTGTAGAAATTGCCCCCTTTTGTCCTCCTTTTTTTAGTCTTTTAAAAAAAGTATTAGTAATATTGTTATTATCATTAATTAAAAAAATATATTTTTAATGCAGGTATTATCACAATATTACATCAAATACCCTGGGAGTATTAGAGGCAATGGCAGCACATGGTGTGAAGACTTTGATATATTCTAGTACGTGCGCAACGTATGGAGAACCTGAAAAGATGCCCATTACGGAAGGAACTCCTCAGGTATATGCAGGCTACAAATTTCTGGTCTGTTTATGTGCTTGTGGGAATGATTTACCAATTTGGCCAGCTACAGCTTGGTTTGATGTGTTCGGAGTTGTATTACATGACTACTCATCACCCCTGTTGCATAAATGCAGCTTCCTATAAATCCATATGGAAAAGCTAAGAAGATGGCAGAAGATATCATCCTGGATTTCCATAAAAATTCGGACATGGCTGTCATGATCTTAAGGTATGTGTTTGAATTTGTATACTTATATTTCAGAATCCTTTTGTCACTTTATTATATTCTTATTGTTCAAATGTTACATATCTTTTTTGTTTTCATTTGTACTTTCTTAGTACTCCGTATTAGATTATTTTATAAGTACATTTCTATGATTTAATTTTGCTCTCATTGTGGTGCTAGTATGCTTTCTGAAAGAAATGGTATTTACAGTGAATAAACCCAACAATTGGCTACATCTAGTCGTCTTCATGCAGCCCATGACATTCATGTGTTGCCACGTGAACTATTTTTCTGCTGAAAATTCTCTTTGAGAGTTTTTTTTTTTTGGTAACAAGGATACTGTGTCATGTTAATTATTCCAATAATGCCCATCATCCATTAAATGAGTCGACAAACTTCTGTAACGAAGAAAAATTATATATTTTTAATTTCCTTCAAGTCTAGAACTAAAGCAAAGTCCATAGGCATGATTGTGTGTCAAATTTGTTTCCCAACTTCAAATTGCATTACCATGTGTTACTCCAAATGTGTCATTTAATAAATAAGTCCTTGTGTATTTCAGTTTTCTAAGAAAGGAGATTGAACGCACAAAAAAGTGTCATTACGCGGTGGGGTCCCCTTTAATCAAGGGTCCTGGGAGGGATGGACTGGATACAGACCCAACTTTTTGCATTATTTGCACAAAGTGACTGTTCTCAAGACTGGAACCCCCTTTCCCATGCTTGACAGGCCCAACATTTTACCAGTGTACTAAGCAATTGCTCCTGGATATTGAACTTACAAGTCAATCCATTTTTTAATTTTTCTAATTGTTGTGTCACAGTATGATATCCAGTTCATCTTGAATTCATGATTATACATGAATGGAATTAGTCCCTGCCAAATTGCATTTGATGGGCCTCCCAAGGGGTTGGACAACACAACACGCCTTGATATTATAATTTCATTTTAATGTTGATTTTGATTTCATTGATGATTTTGATTTCATTTATTTGATAAAGTGTATTCAATCAACCAGATAGGTACTGACTGATGTCTTCTATTGAAAAATGCCAGATACTTCAATGTCATTGGTTCAGATCCAGAAGGAAGATTAGGAGAAGCTCCTAGACCCGAACTGCGTGAGCATGGACGGATATCTGGTGCTTGTTTTGATGCAGCTCGTGGAATTATTCCTGGGCTTAAGGTATGGTGATCTCTAATCCCTTAGCCCTATCCCTATTATGCTGTCGTAAATTAATTTGGCACCTATATTTGCACTTAGTTTCTTATACTCCCATATGTTTTACTGGATTGAAAGATTAATTCTCATTTAGGTATGACTTTTTGGGCACTAAGCTTGAAATTGGAAAATTCATGAGAATCATCAACTATGGATGATATGTTGGGAACTCAACTAGAAGCAAAATTTTCTTGAGATTCGAAATACCCCATTTCTCTCCTCTTTTTTATTTTTGAATAATAGATCTAAAGTTTCAACCAAGCTGGTGGAGTGAGTTGCATGAGTCCAGAGTTACTTTATAAGAAAACTAGGGGCTGATGAAAAAATACGGAAAAAAAGAAGAAGCTGAAGGTCAATTCATGGATCCTTTAAAGTTGATAACAACAACGAAGATTATGACGAATCAAGATTGCTTTTGTTTGGATGTACTTGAAAATTTGAAAATAATTGCTTGCACTTAACCATGGTATTGGTGGTATAGGATCACGGTGTCAAGTTACAATAAGATCGAATGTAGTGTTGGGCAAGGCTCATGGGGGATTCGTTTCAATGCCATTAATTAACCACTAAAAGTTCATAATATGCGTGTTTTGATCCCAGTTTATCACATTTTGATATTTGTCTTTTTCAATTTTTGACACTTGGATTTTTTTACTTATTTGTATTTGATTTTGGGTCAAACTAAGAACAAAGTATCATCTTTTGAAAAACAGTACACTAGAAAAAGTCATAAATCATAAAAATATAAATAACCAAATAATTTATACCATATTGATTCATGATTTCAGTCACTTTATTATCTAATGTTTAAGCTTGCTCAATCTCCAAGCTTGCTCACACACTTTGTGTAATTATTGGCAAGAGGAACACTTCTATTATTTTAGGAAAGCTTACAGGAGACTATCTAAGGACTGAATCCTACTTCAGGACCTTTCTCACTGCCCGGGACCTTCTCTCTAACTGAGGATGCACACCAATAATCGGTCTGTAACCAACTTGGTACATATTTGCAAAATAAATTATATCTTTGGTTAATTGTGTACTTCTCTATGTGAAAAAGGACAACATTTTGTTAACAGTCTTTTTCCCCTTCCATAAACCCAAATTCCTGAATGTTGATCAACCATGTTGTGGTCAAAGCTACATATCAAAAAAAAAATGTTGTGGTCAACTAAAAAGATATTTTTGGGTAAAAACAACAACAATTGGCTATACAAGTCAACTACACTTGCAAATTCTTGATTAACAGAAATTGAGATTCCTACATATTGAAGTGAGTAAAATTGAACTCTGTTACGTTTAATGGGAACTGGAATGTTTGCAACTTGGGGCATTTATGGCTCGCAAAAATTTCGTTAAATCAATACCCAAATTTTGTTGGTCCTCAAGAATTTGTCATTCTTGACCCGAATTCCCACATGGTGAACATATCCACCCCCCAAAATGCAATATTGCCCAACTTCCATAATCTAATAAATTTTTGGTTTTGTTGCAGGTTAGAGGAACAGACTATAAAACTCAAGATGGCACATGCATACGAGACTACATTGATGTCACAGATCTGGTTGATGCTCATGTGAAAGCCCTTGAAAAGGCAAAGCCTGGGGAAGTGGGAATCTACAATGTTGGCACAGGAAGAGGTATTATTACATTCTGTATTATTCAAGCATAACAATCAAACGCCATCAGAAAATTGTTCCTCGACTTTTTTTTTGGGTCTCTGTCAACAGGTAGATCAGTGAAGGAGTTTGTGGAGGCATGTAAGAAGGCAACCGGGGTGAACATCAAAGTAGACTACCTCCCTCGTCGGCCAGGTGACTATGCTGAAGTGTTCAGTGACCCGACTAAGATCAGGCGTGAGCTGAATTGGACAGCGCAACACACCAATCTTCAAGATAGCTTACAAACTGCATGGAGATGGCAGAAGTCACACCGTAATGGGTACGGAGACCCTCTGGCAATGGCTTCCTAATACATTCGCCGCTTTCCTAGAGGAAGAAGACTAACGCAAAACTCATGCGGAGCTGACTTCAGCCCTAGCTTCTATTAGTCTCTTAGAAGGGGGGTTGGAAGGGTTTTGGTATAATTATTTTTTATATTTCATATATGTGGTAGAATGTAGGAAGCAGCCCATTTATTACATGTATTTGAAACACAGAGAACTAGTTCAATAAGAATGGCCGGTCAGGTATAGCTGTTATCTTGTTCATATATCATTCTTTTTGGTAGCTCTCTGGTGGCAAGAAAGTGAATTATATAGAAAGATAATTGGGTTCCAAATTTCAGAAAGCCTCCAAACAGTCTTGACAGGGAGTTCTGCAAGTATCTCTGTAGTGGCTGATTTAATTAACCATGACTTACATGCATGGAAAGGTCAGAAGTATGGCAGACAAAATATACCCAAACCCAATATCCCAGCCCAATAAACAATAATTATTGGGTGATTAGTTTAATTGAGCGGGTCATTTCAAGGTGCTGTTTGATATTCTAATTCAGTGTTGTTTGATAATCCAATTAAGTGCGTTTAGTGAAATTAAATTTTAAGTGACCGGAATTTCATACACTGAAAATTCAAAAAAATATATGGTCGTTGGAATTGAGACTTTACAATACTTTGCCCAAGCACAATTATACCGACTCTCTTCATAGCCCAAGGGTTGCTCTCCATTGTCCTTACAGAAAATATGTTTTACTACTAAATTTATCAGGAATCACAATAATAATCCTGTTTGTTGCATGTATAATATCCTTTTCATCTTTTTAGATAAATTTAAATATATTGAATTTAAGTACCTTCTCTTTTTCTCCATTTTTTTGTTTGTTTGTTTTGTCGTTGGTAAGAAACAAACCACACCACTTACACATATACTTTGTCTTTTTGGAGATTTAAACATTTACCATTCACTTTGAAAAATAGAAAATATATCACTGGCCACAAAGCTCTTGACAAATTTTTTCTTATTGTTCCTAAAGTACCTATCTTCTTAAAAATCTCAATTTTTACTTTTTATTTTTTGATATCAAAAAGTGGGATGAATGGATTTTACATCTATAGAGTATAAATAGCATTGCCCATAAAAGTCTAGTCGAGAAGTCTAGCCCAAGGAGTCTTATTTATTGATCTTATGCATCAAGAATAAGAATTTGGCAGAAAAACGAGAGAAGAATTATTCACCATGCAATAGAAGTAAAGATGATATTAATACAAACACTAAATCTATATTTTCTATAGAAATTTTGAAAATAAGCTCAAACAAACGTCTAAATACTCATTTTAGAAGTCTAATCAGGGAAGATAAATACCGAGCAGTCTAATTAATAAAAAGGACAAAACGAATTGCACAAGACCCTGCAAAACCCTAATAATAACGATAGACAATAAAACCTAGGGTAGGGGAGCCATAAAATCTATCTCCTGTCTATACAAAGTACTGTTATATGAACATGATGCATTGGATAAACATTTAACTTCCAGTTAAAATCTTGACTCTCATTCATTGACAAGCCACTTGGAAAACAAAGACATCAGATCATCGATGCATGATGGCATTCTTTCATAGAACTACACAAGTAGAAATTATGAAACATATTAGAGAGTTAATCACACAAATATATATTATGTTGAAAAGGAACAATAGATCCATAAGTTAAAGTCCAAGTGCATACTTACCGGATCGTTAGCCATTTTGAACAGATAGTCAAATGCCACAGGACAACTGTCTTCCAGAAGAGGAGCCAGCCCGCATTGACACCATAGCAACTTTCCTCAGTTGCTCACGAGCAAAAGGATTAAAAAAAAACAATCTTGTCAGTTACTAGCACTCGCACTCTTCTTAGCTCTCAAAGTTCTGTGGGAATTGGGGTTTTCTTTAACTCAGTTTTCAGATAACAATAATGCAAACAAAAGAATTTTCGAATTGTTTTATGTTTTCATATTCTCTGAGAACAGCTTTAAACCGAAGTTTCCGCAATTTTGACAATGCAACTTGTGTTTTTAAATTGATCTGGTTTTGATTTATCCCAAAGAGTAGAATTGGGGTTTTGAAAGACGGTAACGCTAAATGGCATTCGGGACAGTCTGAACAAAAATCTGTTTCTAGCAACTGCTTGGTGAGTGATGGCCTTTTTATTGCATTCACACTCAGGATTGTAGCAATATAAATTGTCCAAAACTAAGAAAATAGCTTTCAGCCTTCATCCATGTTGTTTAGGACTTGAATTCCTTTCAAAGGCTTTGATGCAGTTTGCCCAGTAATTGCCATCAACAAAACCCTAAACTTGACCATGTTCAACTTATTGAGCTTGGCTTGAACTACGACTCGATAAGCTAATAAATACTTAGAATTATGTAAATTTAGTCGGTTAGCAACTTACTTAGCAGATAAATAAACCTGACTTTGATTGTATTTTAGTAGTCCAATAATGTGCACCAAGCTAGAGCAACACAATCAATATGGGCTTGTTTGCCGTTTCAAAATATTATTGAAATATTTTCAATATGACATGAAACTGGGTAAATTGAGCCAGTTGGGGTCTCTTTAAGAGTTAAGGCCTTCTGAACAGGTGGTTTTCCTGGCAAAAATTTTCAGATATCCTGGGGTATAGTGACTCAGATACGTGCACTGCTTTGAAAGAGTACTCAATTAGTCTCGTCCCCCAAGGGGGTTGGACCCCTCTGTTACCAAAAAAAAAAAAAAACAATAAATTTATAAATAAATATTAAACATAATACTTAGCCCTTACTAACCTCTGCTCCTTGAACACTACAATCGGGACTACAAATAAATTTTAACACAAAACCAAGCCAGAATTACATCTGCACACCGGGTATTTGTCCCGATTATTGAAGAGCATGGTAAGGGAGAGAGAAACTGTTCTTTCACGTCAACAAAAAGAGTTGCTCTAATCACAAAATTCAGTCTGTACTGGCGGTTCTTCACAATGAACATCTTCTGAGAAGTAAAATGAACTATGAGCAAGCAGTATAATATAATATGTAATTATCGTGATTTGCATGTTCCAAATGGCAAGTATGCAACAACCCATAAACCCATAAAAATGAAGTCACTTGATACCAACAATACACGGTGTTCTCATTTTACAATGAGGGATCTCAGAAAAAATCACTAAAATAAATTCAGCCTATCATATAATATTTTCAGAAAGAAAACATTCCAGTTGAATTCATGTATTGCTCATATGGATCACAAAACCAGGTCTGCAATCATCACGAAAGTTGAAAAGGATACGAGACTAAGAAACACTATTCTCCCTCTTTGCAAATTACTCGCACATTCTTTCAAGCAACTGTTTGGACTGCTCTGTCAAAACTCTCTTCTGCAGCTGATGAGCGTTTAACTAGCATGTGGTCTGGATGTGCCAGTTTCAACTGACTGCAAAAAAAGATAAAACATAACAGTCATTTCCATTATGCTTTTTTTCTAGCAACTTCATAACAACGTGGGGAAATATGGGACACAAGAACAGCTCATGACAGACCCATATTCTTAGGAATTCAAAGAAACCTTGTAAAGACAATGACAATCGACGTATACCAAACTTATGTACCAAGTAGACAATCACCCAACAAAATCATCAGTTGCAATGCAGTGCTGCATGTGTAAAGATTATTTAACCTAAAATTATAAGTAAAAAAGAAAATCCCAAAACCCATTTCTCAAAATCCAGAACCACTAAAGTGCTGCACGCACTGTTTGTTCAAGCCACTCCCAAAATACAAAGACATTGGCAGGGGCGTTACTTTGAAGACCCTAGTGGGTATTTCGGGAACTTACAAAACAACATTCCATGCATTGGTTGCTAGATGAAAATAACTAAATAAATGAGGTCAATGTTTGAAACAAAACAAAACATAGAACCTATTCCATTTGTACAATCCAAATGATATCAAACAGCTGAATCTTAAACCCAGACACCTCCCTCTCCAGAATTCATAATTCCACCACATTCTAAAGGAGTGCAAGAGTTTCAACCATTTTAATTCAGAAACCCGAACCTCCATGAAAGGTTCCCATGTTTTCGTAGAAAAAGAAGTTCACAGAGAAAAAATAGGGAAGTGCTTCTTCTCTGTAATGCAGTTTCCTGCTCTCTAGAAGTCTTTGGGCCTAATGATGTTGGTTTCCTAGAGGTAACAGTAGCCAGTAGGTGTATCAATGGATAAGGTCCACGTAATATCGAACTCATAAGTCCATACCTTCTGGTTCCAGACTCAACAATTCAAGGGACCAACAGTAATCCCCCACAATCAATTCCTTCATCAGATGCTTAACTTCAAATACACTTTCTTGAGTAAATTATTATAATGCAAATAACCTCCTAGGTTAGAGGAATATTGTAATTCTTTGTCCCCTTCTTGACTTTTGTCTATAACAGCTCCAAATAGCTTATTCAATATAATTATTCCTAATGTGGACCTAAAGCCTTATTAAAGTGGCCCAATGAATTAAATAAACCATGGTAACTGGGATCAGATATTTCAGGTAATCCTGTAAATTAGTAACAATGACACCCTTGGTTATTGCTATCTACCATGCTGAAGAAAAATAAAAATAAATAAAAACATATAACCATCCTTTATGACTATCTCAACCGGACACAAGAAGACAGGACTTCCAAGTTTCTAGTTTTCGAAGACCGTGATATTCGTGATTGGGTTGTTAAGATCAGCGGCTTGCAAAAGGCATCTCTCCGAGACTTGCCTTTCTATTTCTTAGGTAATTGGTTAGCTCCTTGGAACCAAGACCAGAAGGATGGTTCCCAGTATAGCTCTAGCTGCTGGTAAGAGGGAGAGGGTCATTTTGATTAGTTCTCTCTGTTGAACCCCCCTAACCTGCTCAAATTTATGTAGAAGGCTGTCCACTTCTATTCACTAAATTGACCCTAATCATATAATTACATTTTATAAAAAAAATGTTCAAGATATTTTAATATCTAATAGAAACTATGAAATTTAATAAATTTAACATGTTAGAGCAAAGCCAAAAAAAAAAAAAAAAAGTCACTAAGGCTTTCTTCAATGGAATAAAAAAAATATCAAAGAAGAAATATGTCCCAATAGATCTCATGAAAAGATAATTACTTGAGATAACGTGAGGATGATTTCCCAATGTGAAGACTGCACACAACCAGATTGGCCAGTGTTTCTGCATCCTTCGCATCCTGCATGAATCATCAGAGCATCTCACATTAAGTAAAGAGATTCATAAGTCTCTCTATTCAAATGCAATAAATATAGAGCAAACTTTTGAACTTCAGCAGTAACGCAGATTGTTCAAGATCCGGGAAGAAATTTGGAAAATATAGTAATATTGATTCAAGCATAACGAAAAAGCACATCAGTTGATCCAAATCTTAAATAGAGTATAAAATTTGCCTTGTTTAGCGCTTCAAGTAACAATGTTTCAGCTTCATCAAAGTTTCCCATATGCATGCAGCAAACAGCTTTTCCATTCAGGATCAAACCAGTCATCTGGTACTTCTCAGAGAAATCTTGGAAGATAAGATATGATTCCTGTATCTTGGAACCACCCTGATTTGTAGAAAAATATGCAATTAAGAACATGACAGTTCTCATTTAAGATGAACAAAAGTTGGAGGAAATGTATGTACCACAGCCAAGTTTAGCCATGCATTTGCCAGTTGAGTCAAAGTATGGTCCTCGTCAGTCTGTTGCATGATCCTCAATTGTTTTTCTGCATAATCTGATCTGTGCATCTTAAGGAATATATGAACATTCAATGCATGCCTACAAAAGAAGTAACATCTATCAGGCTTCACTGATACTGATAGGCACTCTTCACGTAAGTAAAATTTCACGAGATTAAGCACGAGCACAGACAATTACACATAATTTTAAGAAAACCAAGTATAAAAATTAAAGTTAGAAAATAATTAAAATCTAAGAGAATTACAAATTCAAGTGAGGTTATAAAAAATTAAAAATAAAAATAAAATAAAATAAACACACAAAATAGGCACAGTTTTAGTAGATCAACATATTCCATTAAAATCAACAAGACAACGAACATGTGAGATATGTATAGGGAAATCACTCTAAACTAAACAATATATGTAACACTAATGATGTTAATCAGAGGTACACCAACTATGACTATATTGAGCTTATAATTCATATCATATAGGCGAGAGATTACACAAAGACATAAATGAAGGAAATAACAGAAATTAGATTGGCTTCAAGCCTCAAAATTAATCATGTTTTCTCATTTAGACAAGTGACAAAAAGGTTTATAAGGAAAGAAAAGGCTATGAAGGGACAGTAAAGACTCCATAGGGTAATTATTAAGTTAGATAATGCATAAGTAGGCTTTCAGCAAGATGATATCATTGATTTAATGAGAAGATTTGAAATCAGATTATGTAATCAGGAATACTTAAAATGAAGCACCAACTAACATACAAAGCTCAACAAAAGGTTGGTTAATTTGTAAAGCACTAACAAGCATAAAAAGTTCCTCAAAAAGGTTTGCTAAATTGTAATGACAAAGCTTACTTAGGGTTGAAAATTATTTTCTGAAAACACAGTTTAACCAAAAAGAGTACACATAATGTAAGTTCTAAGTTGGAAACAGAAGACATGCTTTAAAATTAAAAGGTTCTGAAAACATTAATAAAACTTGCCAGGATCATCAAAATAGAAAAATAATTGAATTTACAACTATGATCTAATCACAACACCAACAACAATTAAGCACCATTTCCAAGCTAGAGGAGGGTACTATTGTGATGAACATTTATACTCAACAATTCTCTTACTCACCTGCATATATATTTGCAAAACAAATAAGTATTTAATTTATATGACTTCATAAGATAAAAAATAATAATAATAATAAAATTTAAACATTGAATCTCAAAGCACCCACGAGACTGCATTTCTACTGAGCACCTATCAATCTTATAAAGACTAAGACGGAAAAACCATGAATTATTGAAGAATATGCTGAGTATCTCTCTCTGTTTTTTCTTTTGGCAAGTATGCTTGACAATCTCAGTATTAAAAGAAGTAAAGTAAGACTCACAGCTCCATAGTCCCTCCGGTATTGGTGTGTTTCAAAGCTTCATTATAATCCTGCTCGTGCATGAATATAATCCCAGCAATAAGCCGTAAGATTGGATTGTTTCCTATCGCTGGATCTCCCAACCACTCCTGGAGACTCGAAATTGTAGCCTCCTGTATAATTCAGAAGCAACACCACTATTAAGCTTAACACAAATGACATAAACCCTTCATAGGGTTTCATAAAAAATAGTAAAATTCGGGTAATTAAATAAAATTACTGTATTCGACGCTTGCCAAAGGTTACTCAGTTTTCTTTAGCCCAAAAGAAAATTAAAAATAGAAGTTTAAAGCAACCTTTGAGTCTAGTTTCTGATCCAAAACGAAGGGAAAAATAAAACTCAAATCCAAACAGTGAGAGGGAAACAGGAGAAACAAACCCACGATTCAGTTGCTGGGAAAATTGAATTAAAGAAAGATGATAAAATTTTGGACCTTATATTGTATACTGATTATGTTTTCAAATATGGGGAACCCATCTACAACAAGCCAAACAGCGTACTATTAGGCGCGTACTTCTTTTATTTTTTATTTTTATGTAATTGATAAAGAAACTAAAATTCAAAAATTCTATTTCTCTCCCACCTTTATGATAAAATTAGTGATTTTGATCAACAAAAGCAGAACAAACACAGATCTCAATTATAAAAGCAATGTGCATTAGCGAAATGAATTTTATTTTCATTCCCAAATCAAGAAATTCACGCAAAATTGAGTAAACTAAAAACAAAAAGTGGATCTAAACCTCTAGGTCTTGATCACAGGCTGAAATAGAGATCAGAAGAAGGTTAAGGAAAAAACCTTGTTGTCGGGACTCGAAAGATACAAAGCGAGCAATTTCACTGCTTGAAGAGGGGTCGCCGCCGACGAGTCGATCTCATTGACAACAAGCTGAAATACACAAGTATGGATCAGGTAAAAATAAAATCTACGCAGCTAGAGAGAATAACTGCAATTTTTTGAGCAATAAGGGGACGAGGACCTGGTAGCTTCCAAGGGCAATGTAAGATCTGTAAACGAGGCAGTCTCTCTCAACGGAGTCTTCTTGAGAGAGATTTGGCACGTCGCTATTGTTAATCGCCGCCTGATATGCTCCCAAGTAGAAGTTGTTTCGGAGACCGAACAACAGGTCCGGTGCTGCCATGGTTGCTAGATCTCGGCTTAGAGAGAGAAACTGAGAGTTTTAGAGAGAGAGAGAGAGAGAGAGAGAGAGAGAGTTGGGTGTGTTTGATGGAGGAGTCGACGAAGGAGAAGTGGACGGTTACTCACATAAAGAATTACAGATGGTTTGGTGGATTCGGGTTTCCCAATTGGGCCAAGGTTAGTATACATACTGGACCTGAACCAGTGCCTAACTGAACGGTATAGCCCAATCTAAATTGGAACAGCTACGAAATACGATAAGTTGGTTAGGTAGGCTATATAGGAAGCCCACCACCCCTCCAATCAGATAAAAACTTCCTTGAGTCTGTTGCAACGTACAACGAGGGATTCAACCGTTGATAAAAAATAAAAAAAATTTAGTAACCTCAAAAATATTAATAACATCGCGATGATATTAGCTTCACTCACATACGTTGGGAGTTGTTCAACTTTTGGACTTCAAATTATTTTTTTAACAATTAATGAGAAACAAGTTGTGGTACAAAGAGTTGGAAAGGCAGACGCATCTGACTACGTACATCCGAGACAATTTCGAGTAGTATTATGCAAGTCCCTATTATTATTTAGAATTGTCCGATTTTTAGATTCTGAATTATTTTTGAAACGGATATAATTAATTTTTATACGAACGAAGATGATGACTTCATCATATTGAATGATATCATCTCTCATGAGTAAAATAACTTAATACTTATTGACAACTGCTTTTTTATTTTTAAGTAAATCTCAGGCACTCAATTTATTAAGGTCAGGTTTGGTATGCCCTTTGTTTTTGATGTTTTTGTTTTTGTTTTCATTGGGTATTGTACAGTGAATAATGAAAAATGGGTATTGTACAGTGAATAATGAAAAATATATATATATTTGCTAAAATATATTTTATTTTACACAATGCCGAAACATTTCGTGAATAGTGACTAAAAATCATAACACCAATTTGATATTTTTACATGTCTCAGCACTGTAACAACGGGTACTATATTCATGAATAGTTACTTATTTATATATATTTAAAAAAAAAAAAAAAAAAACTCTTAAATGATATTTTTAAACTTACCATTAAATTTTTTAAACTTGCAACATTTTTTTATTAAATATGTTTTCATATTTTTACTTTTAAACATCTTGCAACAAAAAAGACGTTAACAAACAAGCTTTTGATTATTATTCAAAACACTCTATAACAAAACACTTATTTTGTTTCGGACTAAAATAAAATATCAAAAACAAAACGCGAACCAAACAGTGCTAATTTATTGCCCACAATTTAGATTGAAAAAAAAAAAATGATTTCAGGAGGGGCAAAGGCAAAAAAAAATTAATTTCACAAGTATATATATCAAAATGACAAAAATAAGGATATCCTTCAATGTCTCACACGTTTCCATTATCGACCATTCCTGATGATGGAGAGGGTCTCAATTTGATATTCTGTTCTGTAAAAATTGTTTGGTACAATTATTTGCTACAACTCAGTCACAGGTACAAATATTTGCTATGATTCAGCCGATGCACAGTGCCTCTGACAAATAAAATCACATTACGAAAACAATGATCTTCCTGAGAGAAAGAAGATAGATTAAAAAAACTGAAGCTTGAAATTTTCTGATCTCGCAATACACATTGCTTAAGAAGTGTTCCCAAGCATTAATTTACTTAAAAGGTACACGAACATAACTGCATGAAAACAAACAGAAATCTAAGTGCAGCCTTTTGAGGGCTTACCTACTTCTTGTTCGCCAATAGTAACTGGTTTCAATTTTTTCAATCTAAGGACAAACGCGCAATCTTTAAGGAGTAACTGGTTTCAAATTTTAATAATCTCTGTTTGGATTGAAGCGCAGTTTAGGATTAACCTCTCTTTAGACTCCTCGAATCAGGAAATTGTATCATGACTAGGGATGACAACGGAATGAGTTGGGACGAGAATCTCATTCCCCATCCCGTCTCCTTTTATTTTATTTTTTGTACCCCTGAATCCCGCCCCCAAAACCGTTTAAAATTTTACCCCCACCCCGCCCTGCCCCCACTTACCCAACCGCAGCCCCGTCCCTGATTAAATTTGAGAAAATCAAACTTCAAGCAAAATAAAATAATAATGAAGCAGCAAAAATAACAGCGCTTCATACACAGCAAAGCCAACTTGATTATTCACTTCATGAAATTTCATTTATTAAATCTAATTCCAACTCGTTACAGAAACAACAGCAGCAGCAAAAATTAGTAAAATCACATCTTAATATATATATATATATACACACACACACACACACACACACACACACTTACCTCTGACTGGGGAACTGTGGCCGGATGAATGGGACGATGATTGGATTTATGGGCAGAGAGACCCTAAATCGGTTGTTTATAGTCACGACCAAGAGGAAGAGTTGTTGGGTCTGATAGAGGAGGGATGATTAGGTACAACCGTACAGTTGAGGCGCCCTTTGCCGGCTGAGGCGGCGGAGATGGAGGTCGGCTGAGGCGGTAGAAACTACGAAGGACTAAGTCATATGAATATGGATAGAGTGGATGGTTTGAACAACAGCCATGAATCTCGCATTGAAATTTTCACAATTTTAACAAAGAAAGAGTTCACATAGAAATACGATTAAAGAAAGAAAAAAAAAAAAAAAAACTCAATAGTGCTGCATTCCCCTTAAAAACAGGGAAGTTAAAAAGTCTACTTTTAAGAAAATATACACTAGTCTACAACAATGTGCTATGTATAGTGCTGTTTAGTTCTTGCTTTTTTAAATATATATGTATATAAGTTCAATACTGTTCTCTTTTTCTAATTCAAAATAGTTATTTGAGTTAGCATAACAATAAATATGTCAAACAATGACAGCATTCAGTGAACATTCTGAGACATTATGCAGTGATGAATATTTATTCAAAGGTCCTTCATTAGTCTTCACAATGGCTCCATAACACAGCATTTAGAAAAGGCCAAGAAAATAGAGACACAAATGGAAAGCAAGCAACTCCACCAATAATTCTAATTGAAAATTAAGACCTCACTTAGGCAATGCCTTGATAGAAAAGAGGACAATTTCTTGCTATAACAATGACGAATGCTCAAGAATTCAGGCTTCCTAATCATAAAAAGAACTTACCAACTGCAAAAGTTTCTTGGATGAACTTCAAGGACAACTTGGTAACAGTTGGGATTGTGTACCAATTGTCTACACGGGACTGAGTGAAGCTGTTAAATGAGCATAGGAATATGAATTCGAACGTCCTCCAATAACAAACAAGCGAGAACAGGTAGATTGATGCCGGTACTTGAGCAGCAACGGATGGTTTATTGTATATGTCACCGCAACTACTGCTCACAAGCGACATTGTTGAATCTCCGGCCAAATACTATCAATGGCATGGGCGTGGTGCACGCAAAATTGTATATCAAAACCAATCTTCTCATAAATCTCAAGTAACAACATCACACACATCATCAACCTCTTCTTCTCCTTGCATATGATCATCATCTGATCATCCAATTTACTCACGCCCATCAATTTCTGCTCCTCAACAATCAGTGACACCATCTTAGTCGCGACACGTTCGCGCAATGTCTCAACCCTAGAAAGTGGAGCTATGGTGAGCAAAGCAGCCAGGTGAATGAGCTTTCCTTGCTCTGCATAATGGCAGATGACAACTTGAACCTCATTTTCCTTCATATGTGATACACGAAACCTAATGGTGTCCAATTGGGTTTTCATTTCCGGGAGGCAAAACATGATGATCAATTTGAAAATTGAATCTTTATTAGGGCTCCAATGATCAAAATTGTGGGTTAGGGATTCTAAAAGTCCAATGAGATCGGAGGGCAACGCATGGTCATGGGCAAAAATGTCATCTTCTCCACACTCAACCGCTGAATCTTGATTGTCTATCGACATATATATACTATAAATTGAATCTACTAAGTACTAGCTTTCGACCCTTAACAATCAATTGATCAAATGATGAGAATCTAACTCGAAATTGATATATGAATATTAAACCAAATGGGAATATGTTGCGGTTCTATATGTATGTAAGCAGGTATGAGAGATCTGCATGCGTGTGTATAGACAGAGGGAGAACCTGCTCGTTGATGTGGTTGCTCCACAATGCACGACGTCATCTACCGCTGCTGATGCTAATTTTAGCCGACTCTACCTCTGTAGTCTCTTCCCATCTTTATACGTGTGCGTGTGTAACTGTGTTATATTATTATATATATATATAGCCCATGAGTCTCTCATTCAGGACTGTAAAGCCTTTGGGTTAAGGTTGTTTGTGAGACTTGTGGGCTTGAGTATCAAGATTTTTTTATAATTAGAGTTCTATTTTAGTTGAAAATTCACAATTCCTATTTAATTATGATTGGGCTCAGGCGATGTATTAGCAATTTCAACCCGAATGTTATTTATTTTTATATATTAGGTTATTTGGAATTTAAGATAATTTAATTCAAAATTGTTGTGGGAGAGAGATTATTATTTTAAATTCAACATATGGTACAACCGAGCTATATTAGTTAATCTCACTTAATTCTAAATAGTTGTAAAGCACGTTAAAAATATTAAAGCTACCTGGCAAGAATCACTAGATCGGCATACATTCTATTTTTTATTTTATTTTATTTTTTCATGGTGCAAATTATGCATGAGATTAACATGATTGAGCGAGAGAAATATATATATATATATATGTAAGAAATTTTCTAATGCATGTCAATATAGTGGATGCAGGAAAATATTAAAAAAAAAAACAGCATCAAGATAGGAAACCTTTCATCGTTCTTGCAAATGAAGGAGCCAGCACCAATTCAAGTAATGGAGGTAACGTAGATTTAAAGAGAAATTAAGTTGAATATGCTTGGCTCCTTGCACGCGTGAAAATCAATCAAGGAGAGATTGATATTTATGTGTGGCATACAAGGAGCCAGGCACAATCATATATTTCACTTTATTTTCTTCAATTGTTGATCAATTGAAGCTATAAATGTATCTCACTTCATCACTCAGAGAGAGTGAGATATTAGAGAGAGATTTGCAAGGCACAATGTAGTGACCTAGTGTAACGGGTGGGCGCTTGTCCATTTATCTAAAAGTTCTAACCCACCCATTTATACTCATGTTATTTCTTATCCGGATCCGATGTGGAACAAGTCTCTCTTTGTAACATTCTCTCCCACCCGAACTCGCTCTCCCACCCGAACTCGCAACGCCCTTCCGGGTCGGGCGCTTGGCGTAGCACCAGATCAAGGACTGGCTCTGATACCAACTGTAACGGGTGGGCGTTTACCCATTTACCCAAAAACTCAAACTGTTGGGTAATACTGCATACCCACCCATTTATACCCATGTTACTTTTCATCCGAATCCGATGTGAGACAAGTCTTTTCTTGTAACACCTCGCTAGTTAGTAACCGATCAGGGCAAGACTTGGAATAATATATAGAGCTTAGGAGGGAATTTTTTTATATTTTATGAATTAATTAAATAAGCGTTACACATTTTTTTTTATACATTAATACACATGCATGCATTTTACTAAATCCAATCAAATTAACCAGCATGACAACCACCGCCAGTCAAATCATTATTGCTTCTTTTGATCACCATCATTCTGTCTCTATCTTTTTCCTAAATTAACCTACAAAAATTATACTAGTTAGGTAAAGAATTTAGCTTCTCTTTTTAACATGTCCCTCAAATTTTAGTGGAAAATTAACCTTTTTTTTCTTCCTAGTAAGAGGAGATTCCATATAGTGACGGGTCACCCTTTAAAAAGAAAGAATCAGTCCCCATGCAGGACTTCCCACCACTCTCTCTCTCTCTCTCTCTCTGCAAAATCTTCTATATATATATTTGAGGGACAGTAGGTGATTTAGGAGATTATATAGACAGTAGGTGATTTAGAGAGAGAGAGAGAGGTGGAAGGTCTCCCTTTCTTTTTGAGGACCTCCTATGAATAAACTACTGGGATATGCAAAAACGTCCAACGCCTCACATGATCACCGAATTATTACTGTTAATTAGGCATAATTAACTTTGGTGAAACGGAGAACGATGACGTTTATATATATATATATATATATATATATATATATACTCGTATTTATCTCTAATCTAATTCAATAATTTTATTCTAGGTACGTAATAAATTAATAATCCAACATAAAATTGTCAATCAATCCTATAATTCAATAGATTATTTTTTATCAAATTTGTATGCGATTTATAGTTTATGTAATTCCAATCTGAATAATCCGAATCACATATTCACTCATGGAAGGATTGTATTTTGGTTCCTTCATTTTGTATAGAAATTGATCAAACAATCTACTATTTTCTCACATATATATATATATATTTGTATCAGTTTGTGTATTTTATTTATCACACTTACACCATTCAAAAGGTAATAATAATATTAACACAATATATCAAAATTATCTCTGATCAGATCGAATTGACCGTATCTTACTTGTTAATTTAGTGGATAATCAAATTTAGATCTAAAGAATTATTGAAATAAATATGTTCAATTCATATGCCATCTTCTCATATCAAATTTGGACTAACAATCAAATTTATTGATTTATTATTTTGACTGAATAGTAATTTCTAAGATAGGTTTTTTTTTTCCTATTAAAAAACTCCAACTATACTCGTGGAAGGACTGGAACTCTATGTCTTTCACTTTGAAAGGAAACGAGATACCATCGTCATGCTACAAATTGTGATTTCTAATATTATAGTCTAAACTTTTCGGCATTTTTGTACACAGGCTTAGCTCAGCCCTTTCTCTTTTGGGCTTAAATTGGATTGCAGACCAAGCCCAATCATCAATAAGCTAACCAGACCACTTTTTATATATATGGGCCAATTAGACCATGTATGTGGGCCCACCCAAATTTGTAGACTACACTAGAGTCAGAGACAGTCAGACAGAACAAAGTCTCCTAGGTAACCACTACCACTGGGCACACATAATTGGAATTATAAATGAGACAACAAAGCACTGTACATAGTGAGAGCGAGGGAGACAGAGGGAGACGGGGAGAATTGCTCAGCAATGGCGGAGTCCACAAAGACGAGGAAGACAAAAATAGTGTGGTCGTATTGGCCCCCCCTTGTTTCTCTCTCTTCGAATCTGCCGTCTGCTTCTCTTGTAAAAAACTCTCTGTTTTTCCCTTCTTTTTTTCCTTCTCATCACCACAATGATGAGGTCTCTTTCCAAATCTTTGCCACAGACTCACCAGGTAAATACAGCTTCGACCCATCTTATCATATTACTTGTTTTCTTCTTTATTATCACTATTTTGTAACACACACAGATATATTTGTATGATTCTAATACAGCTCTGTGGTTCATCGGTTATTTTTTATTTCAAAACATGTAAATAGAATAGAGGAAGATTCTCATAATGGTAGAATTCTATCTTGCATATGGAGGTTATTAATATTGGTGGACCTGAAGATTTCAGTTTTTTTTGGTGTGAAAATTGTTCTTTGTCAATAAAGATATTTGGATTCTAGTAGTTTATGCTGCTAGGGTGGACCTTGGCACAATGGTAAGGTTGGCAATTACGATTTGGAGGTCACGGGTGCTAAACCGGACTAGCCTCTCCATGTGGAGGCAAGACTGCGAACATCTGACGGTTTCAGACCCTGCAATGGCAGGAGGGGGTGTACTGGGCTAGCCCTTTTAGTAGTTTATGCTGCTAGGAGGCATTTATACTACCAGTATTATTGTGAGTAATAGATGAAATGAGGTTCAATTTGGGCCTGTTTAGACATCCGGTGGATACAAACACCACAATTGGATTGTAAAATTTGTTTTTTGGAATATCATTTGTTTCCTTTATGGTTTTCAAATTCGTTTGTTATGATGTTTGTTGTAACTTTGTTAAACTATAAGTGTGTGGGGACGGTTAAAATTGATGTTCAAAGTAGGCAAAAGTGATTGTTTTTAGCATATTGGATGAGTCTCTGTAAAGACCAGTAGATAATTAGAAAATGTCGCCCATAAAATTAGATAGGGGATGGATGAAGTGGAGAAGCTGTTTTCTGGAATGTTGTTGACTGTCGAATGCATATTTGGTAAAAAGAAATTGGGAAAGCAAAAATATGGTCCATGTTTGTGGTACCAAATGTTGGCAGTCGAGAAGCATGTATGAAAAAACATGCACGACTAATGGGTTATTGATGATACAAGAGGAGGAAATGTTCTATTTTCCGAACTTCATTTTCAACAAAGATAGAATAAGAAATAAAATGCTTCTTTGAAGTCTATAAGGTTGCTGCAGATTCAAGGGATGATGAAAGAATGTTGTCTAAGATGGTTTGACCTTATGCAATGCAAGTTTAGTGACTACATTTTTATGGAGCAATTACTTAATCAATTGGACAGCTAGGAAAAAGATTACAATCTAAAACAATATTAGTCAGGACCTTAAGAGAATACATGGATAACGAGATTACTTGTCAAAAGTTCTTTTGGGGTTGTGTGATGCAATTATAACTGTTGGGGTGACATTAAGGAAAACTAGATGTAAAATTGAACAAGAGTGTAATAATGCCAAATTTTAGGTATGTCTCCGCTCCCCTCTCCCAGTGGTGAAAAAATTGGTGATACCGTGTTAAATTAATTAAATCTTAACATGTCGTCATATGGATGCACTCAACCACATGCATACTCGTGTTTACATTAAATTCTATGTAATCAAATACTTGTCTTCAGTGGACCTCGTGTGCTTGCATGACAATATTAAATTGGTTAGTGATACTAGTCATCAAAATTGCATGGTATTGGTTGGATTGAGGACTTACTGATCAGCACCCTGCATAATTCGGGACCAAGTGACCCACACTAACAATCGCCTTCTATATCTTAGGTCTCATTTCAGTACTAAGGTAATAATGTATTTATTGATGGCATGAAATAGGTATAAGCTTTCTTCTTACGAACGTCATTAGATTACTTCTGTTATGTTACCAGTTTTGTTTATATGTTTTCTTTTTGGTTTGCAGGAACCATTAATTCGTGCCCGTGATGACCCATTTTTTGATGGCATGAGAAGGGGTGATGCAGCTGTAATGGACACGGATACCATATTTGATTCTCGAGGAAAGTTTAGTGACCGTAACATTTCTAGGTCGGTTTCAGATATCGGTGACAGAGGACCGAGAGAGATTGCGGCTGATATATCTGAAAAGTTTGCTTATAGTCCCTCAAAAGGGTCACCTTCTGACATTATTCTAGAACCTTATGGCCGCCGGTCATTGTCTGGGAGGTGGTCAAAATTCTCCAAAAGATCTTCATTTCCGTTACCAAGTATTGAGTCAGATTTGAGCATTGACTTGGAAGAAGAAAATGCCCTTGTAAAGGAGCCCAACCCAAGTATAAAGTTAGATTTGAGCATTGACTTCGAGGAAGAAAATGCTCCAGTAAAGGAGCCCAGCCCAACGATATGTGAAACAGATGAAGAGTTAACATTTCTGGCAAGGCCTGCAATTGAAAGATCATATAGTGTGAACAAGATAAGAACTAATCTTTCTAGAATTCTGCTTCCTCCATCTGCAGCATCATTCTATAACGGGTACTCACCAGAACTGGAAATTGTGGAAGTGTGTAAATTCACTAACAGATTAAATTTCTATCTGAAGGCTAGAAGGGAAGATGTAAATGCTGGTGTCCCGGGAAGATTCTTGCACGCTGTAATAGGGCAAGATGTCGCTGGTAACATTACTTGTGAACTCTTATTGACCAAGTTTAAAACAGCCCCTTCGTATAATTCTGTTCCTTTTTCTTTTTTCTTTTTTTTCACTTTCTATATTTAATTTTATGAATTACTTTTCAGCATTGTGTTTATCAACATGCAATGCGTATTATTGATGTTAATTAAGGCCTACGGAATTTATGAATCTGTAACAGTTATTATAATGGATGAATTTTTTAGGACCTTTATTTGGTTTCCTCCTTGAAGCGATGGTTCATACAAAAGCAAACATATATTGATCAGATGGTTGGGGATAATCAACTATGTTGATTTTACCAGTAATTAATGTATTTCTTGCTGAGATTCCTGCTTCGGCATTGCTTTGATTATGGTTCAAATTCAACCTATTTTCTGTTCATTTGAAATGGCATTTACCAGTAATTAATGTATTTTTTGCTGAGATTCCTGTTTCGGCATTGCTTTGATTATGGTTCAAATTCAACCCATTTGCTGTTCATTTGAAATGGCATCAAATTGTTGTTAATCTTGCAAACACCAAACATTGCTGGTTATTTATTTGGTATAGCTACGTACAGATGCTGGATCAGTTGTCTCAACCATCATGTATGCTTTCTACTTGAATGAAACATTGAAAAGCGACCAGTTCTGCACTGTGCCAATCATCAACATGAAGAGGGCAGACCTAAACTCTCAGGCTGAGCTCAAATGGTTACTTGACTCTTGTCTTTTTGATCAGTCATCATTGATTTTTGTTGATGAGGTATGTCCCAATTGACTGTTTAAAATTAAATCTTGATGTTGATCTACTGTAATATGCATAGAGTAACATGTGTTCCATTTATTTTAATTTTTAACCCTCTGATTTGCCTAGAAAAGTTGGCCTCCTATCTCATACTTTGTATGGTAAGGGAAAATATTGCAAAGAATACATCAGGGTTGATAAATGGTTGGAATCTTCTCATTGTATCTCTTCGTTCTCACAAAGAGAATCTCACAGTTTGAAACCTGCTCCATTCACGCAATCTGCATGGTTATTATGCTATTATGAATTCCTCCATGTTTTACAAGTAAATCTTATGTTTTTCTTAGAGACCTGAAATTCTCGTCTCCAAGTTCTTCTTGCCTTTCAAACTGAAATTCCTTTTTCCTGATTGTTGAAATGTTGAGCAGATTGATCTGTCATATTATGATCTATTTGGGAGTCTTAAACTAGTTTTGTTAAATGGAAATAAGCTTCCAGCCAAACAAGAGGTAATATTTTAGTGTAAAACTTTCTGTACGTTTTCTGTGAACTATTGGAAATGATGGATATATGCTAGTATCTTTCTGTAACAGGCACTAAAGGAGGCCTTGTTTGAAATCTTCAATTGCAGAAAGGTGTATTTTATTTAACTCAGTATAGTTTATCTTGTCTACCTCAAGACATCTTCAAAAAGGAGGAAATGTATATCTTAGTGTTTCTCTCCATTTACAGGATGAAACTGCATATCCTTGGGTTGAGACTGTCACCGAGGGACAGGTATGCCCATCATAATTTTTAGTGAAGCCAACTAGATATTCCTGGTTTGAAATTTTTTATATCCATTCTTGTGCTCAAAATCATGAATCTGAAAATTTTAATGGTTCTCTTCTTAGCATAATTTGTTTTTTCTGAATATGATTTAGGATGGTGAAAACATAACCACTGTTTAGGTTTTCATATTATTGTGTGCTTTGGATGACTGATACTTGAATTGCAGCAACTTTTTATTTCCATTTTTCTAGGATTGTCACTTAACCACGTTAATGGGGACTCTTTTCAAATGACTGGACAGCTAGCTGGTTCATTTTACTTAGTTTCAAATGGCATTGAATAGTAGCTCCATGAGGGAAGTTACTTTGGTAGAAAACATTTTCTGAATTTGAAGGCAATTGATACTGAGAATGTGATCCTTTTTGTATTGTGGTCTAAAGCTTTAAGCATGTGGGCTTTCCATTTAATTTAAGCATTATAACTATTGTCTGAATCTAGAAACAACAATAGGATTAAGGACTTATTTGGGATATTCTGGTTGTAATAGCATGCACTTTGAGTATTAATCGTGTATATCAGGGTTACAATTGATCTTTAACTTTTGTTTCTCTTCGTCTTTACTCATGAAGATGCTAACTCTACAATTTCTTTTTACCTTCTTATTTAAGAGTTCCATGGAACTATGAATCGCTTTTCTAGAATTGGCATAGATTTAGTGAATATTCAAAGCTGCTAGGGAGAAATAAGTAACTGGTGGAGGGAAGGGCTGCCATATATCAAGTCCTGTGCAGACCTAGAAACTGCTTTTCCTTGTTGCAGATGTTTATTGGAATGCTACCACGTGCATGAATGTCTGGCCAGACGCATGCAATGTTTCACATATTACACTGCATCACAGATTTAACACACTTCATCTACGAACATCTCTGCATGTTCTCGTAGTTTTAGGATAGATATGAATGCGAAATTCTGATGTCTCTATACCTTCTGCCCTGACATGTTAGATTTTCTGTGAGTCTTTAATTTTTGTATTGCGTAGAAACGCTTCTAATATATCTTGCCATTAAATGCATATACAGTTACAAAGAATTAGGTGGTTTGGACACATAGAACGCAGACTCGTTAATGCGCCCACTAGAAAGTGAGGACGGCCAAAACTAACATAGAATGCAGTAATTAAAAATGATTTTAAAACATTAAATATTTGAGGAGACATGGTATATAATAGAATAGAATGGAGAAAGAGAATCCTTGTGGCTGACCCCATTAAATTGGGGAAAAGGCAAGAATGATGATGATGAATTCTAAATTTCAATAAGGAACTTATCCATATATGCCTTCATTGATAAAATCAATACCTTTAGTTTCATTTATGAACCTACTTTACATGAACTCTTAAGAAATGTGTGAAGTACTCATGTAGCACAGATGACAATTAGACATGGGCACAACTATGCATCTGATACATCCGGTTGAATAAATATATCTAACAAGCATATCCAACAATTCAAGTTTATTATGCTCCGTGATACATAAAAACACTATTTTTGTTCTAGAAAATAAAAGAACAATATGAAATAATATGTCGTCGTGTTCTCGGTTTGGGGATTTTATAAATCCTACACTTAGACAGATATGCAAAATCTTCACTTTCTCATAAAAAATACGTACATGCTTGAACTTCAGAGGAAAATTTCCCCTGAAGGACATATCTTAATTTTAAAAAGAAAAAGGACCTCTCTTTGGTACCAGAACTTTCCCTTAAAAAGGAATTCCCCTTGAATGTACAAATGTATCTCTTGCAATATCAGCTTCATATGCAATTGGCCTTGTAATAATAAATATGTAATGATACAATAATTTTTAGTATTTATAACTTTTGGAGGAACCAACTTGGTCCCATGGTACTTAACAAAAACTAATAATAATAATAAAACTCAGTCCCATGGTGACATGGTGTATAATTTATGTTTTTTTGAAAAAAATGTAAATGTTGTTACTACTTACTAGAATGCAAAAAAATAATAATAATAATAATACTTAAGAAGAAATTTAATAATATTCTCGATCTTTTGGCAACTGAATTTCTCAAACCGTTGTATACAAAGTTGAGTTGCATACTCATAAAATAAAATTAAAAACTTAATTAATAACTAATTTATTTAAAAATATTATAATATTGGTGGGTATTACATATTTCTTCTCTATGAAAATGTTTGAAATATTATTTAAAAGATGTGCATAATCTGTCTTTTATTGTTTTTCTATTTATTATTATTTTTTTTAAGGTCAATTATATTTTGACTAATTTAATTGTAGAAAGTTTAATCCTTACACGTATGTATATGCATATACATAGTTTAATTTTTTATACCTACCAGTACATTTTCTTTCTCTAGTTTAGTTAGATGAACATGCTGATCTGCAAATGCAGGAATGTTCATGTTGTGCACTTATTGCTGAAAAGTTTGTACTGACTTCACCAGAGATATTGACTGGGAAAGGAATCAGCCGACTTCTGGTACCTAGTGCTTCTGAACTTGCAACTGCCAATTTCTTTTCTCATCTTTCCTTTTTCTTTTTTTTGTTTTGTTTTATTCCGTTTAATCTTTTTATGTTTCACGTATTCAACACCTACTTCGCCAGAAAAAAATTGCTGAGATGTTCCAATGCAGGATGTTGAAGGCAACTATCAATATGTGCCCTTTCCCCCTCCAAAATATCCAACACAAACTGAAAAATAGAACTTCTGCTATGAATATTCTTCTTAGGAGATTTGTTTATTTATCAACATTTTAGGATATGGGCTATCAACTTCCTGACCATGCCATTAATTTTAGATGTGGACTTTGGACTTGTGTAGCAGTTTTATAATCCAAATCGATGCACGTAGTTTGGTATAACACATGATTATATTTCTCTCCTTCAAGTGACGTGGTGCTTTTCTTTCCTTTACTATTCCTTTTTCACCCATTGGGATGACCCAAGGGCACAATAACATGAACTATTATAAAATAATATATGCTGATTCTTCTCAATTTGAGCTCAGTTTGTCCTTTTTTACCACTCAAAATTATCTTGGCAGACTTTAGTGTATTCTGCTCTTCTGTCTACTTGCAGTTAGCAGGCATCCTCTTGGATACTGGAAACTTGTCAAACCCTCGTTGTACCATGAAAGATAAATACATAGCCACATTGTTGATTAATGGGGCTGGTCGATTTGGATGCAATGGTCTTTACCAGATCTGTACGTTCTGTAACTTTACTATTCTACATGGTTTGGAAGTTTTGAATTTGGATTTCTTGAACTACAGGGCCCATCTCTGATGTTATAATTAATCATTTTCAGTAAGATACAAAATCTGTGATTTATCCAACTTCAAGGTAGAAGATATCTTGCGCAAGGATTTCAAGAAGTGGACAAGAGTAGGTCTGGACACATTTCCTTTATTTTTATTATTTACCCCTATACCTTAGCACATATTCTATCACATTTGTGGCATGCATACATCAGTCTCAACATATATGGCTTGAGATAGTGAGATTCCCATACTGGAAGATCCAGTAAACTTGATGTTAACCATCATTGTTTTTTGTCACAAGTAAAATAACACAATTGATCCAGTTGAGAAAAATTAATAAATCAGCTGAACGTGGTTAAACAACCTGGTTCACTTCTCTCTGAGTAGATTTTTGCAAGGCCTCAAGAGTAAAAACTTCCAATAGATTAGCTAGTCAGTGTAAGAGTATCTGGATGGTTTCTTCATTCATACCCAATTTATTGAATATATGCTCTTAATTGTCTGATTCTTTTAGTTGTATGTCAGATTGTTTCGTGTCTCTTTGTGTATATATCTGCAATCTTTGTTCTCTGCACAGACATAAAAGCAAGGCAACTTGTTATAACATGTTTGATTCTGAGAGCTCATGCCTCTCTCTGATTAAAAATATATATTCTCTGCACTCATCAGAATAATTTGTTTTGGCAGTTGTTTTTTATGCTTTGTTATGTACGCCATTCCTGCTGAACCTATGTGGCCTTATCTGTTACTCTCATTCTTATTCATTCTGTTGACATGAGAATTGTTGAACCAGGTAAACCAGAAAACGCTGGTTCAAGATTGATGGTATCACATATCGGGATGAGTTCAATTGGAATGTCAATTGGGGAACTTCTAGCTCATGAGGACAGTGCAGCTCAAGAAATCATACATTTCCAGCGTAAGTGATTGATCATTGTTCAGTAATAAATTTCAAGATATTTCAAAATATTTTGTACGAGAGATGGGTGATACCATTCTACATCAACATCTTCTTTTTATCATCACTGTTCCCTTTATGTTCTAAATGATATTTAAACACCATTTTTGGTCAGTATTTTAGCTTTAAGTTCTTCTCTCTACCTTTGGTCAATATGTTAGCTTTAAGTTCTTCTCTCTACTTTGATGTGCTACTTTATTCTTTTGGATTGTACCATTTCCTTCTGTAAACCTTTGTCAGGTACCACTCTGTGTTAGTGTTTCCATTGGTCCTTTGCACGACAATCATAGTGTTCATTCTGTTTTCACTTGTAGAGGCTTCTCCTTGCTAGGTTTTCTATATGGGCTCTTCTCAATTCTGCTTTTCCATGCATTGCTATTCCAGCGATATTCTCATCACTATAAAATTAACATGATGCAACCCACAACTTCATGGTTTGTATTATATTCTCTATAGTATATTGTCAATGGAGTTCTTCCAAATGCATTCTCCTTTCTGCTTGCATGTTCTCTCTGCCTTCTTTTTTCACTCTTCACTCAGGGCTGAAGTTGGTTTTGACAGTTGATTCATGATTTCTGTTATTGCATCACTAGAAATTTAGTATGGTCTTAATTTTATTAATAAATTCCCTTTATCAGAATAACTTTCATTAACATGAAGTGATATTTTATTAAGCTTTTTTCTTTTTCTTTTTTTCTTTTTTTCCTTCCACCCCCCTTCCCCCCTATTTGGGTATCTCCTTATCTTCTGTTTGTTTGAAAACATTTAGGATTTTGCTTTTTAACGCCTCTTTCTTAAAAATCCAGAGTTCGAGAAACTTCGACTTCTCATGGTTGTTTCCAGCTATTATGATGCTCAGAAGAATTTCAAGGTAAGGAGAGCCTCTTAATGTACGTGATTTATTTACTTATTTTTCTGGAGGTTGATGAATGGATCAGGTAGCGTGGTGTTAACTGTTTGGGCATGCAATAGTTTTCGTTTATACTGCCTGACATTTGGGCTTTGCAATGGTTTTTGTTTTCTCAAAAATTTTAAGCATTGTACTTGGCTTTAATTTAATCTATGTTCCATGCACTCCTGTTTTATTTTTTCATGTATTTTCCAACTTTTGCATTCACAACAACTATCAGCCCAATTACTCAGAGCACAATGATTGCAGAAGTATCAGAATAACTGGAACATGTAAAGTTTTTTTCATGGCTAAACTCAGTATATGATTATTATCACTTTCCCATCTTTCCTCTGTCAAAAGAAAAGAAAACTATCACTTGTAAAGTTGTTGTGGGAAGAGTCGAAAGATCCTACCAAAGGGAAATATGAAGAAACAAATTAATTTGGTATCAAGTGAACGACTGATTTTTTATAAATATAATTACCCATATTGTAGATTTTTTCTTGGTGTCTAGTGGCCAATTCAAATGTCGGATGCCACTACTACATGCCCCATGTGAACTGTTACAACCTGTCTCAAAATGTTTAATGTATTTTTTCTCCCATTAAAATTACTGACTGTTTCATATATCTGGTCAGAGAGAAATCCTGGTGTCTGCCGAATCCATTGAACTTATGAAAAATGTTCTTCAATTCTTCAATGCGAATGCCTCCCAACTGCCACTCAAACTTCTGCATCAACCAGGTCAGTTTGTCTTTTTTAACTTTACGTCCTGAAACTCAGTTGTAGTCAACAATAAAGTTACAACATGCTTCACCCATGAGATTCCCAGAATGTCATACGATGTCTTTGCATGTGCGCCATGTCTTGATGGATATTCTACCAAAGGGGGGCATATTATATGTGCAGCTCTGACCATCGTAGATGAAAGCATGATTCGGGATGTGAAATGTTTCTCCTTATGCCATTGATGAATTAGATATTCTTGCTGATATAATTTGACTTATTCCTAGGTTGTGGCTCATAACGTTGCCTCAGTCAAATGATGATCGCCATCAAATTTAGTGATTATATCTTTTTCCCTGTTTTTTTTTTTTCAAAAAAATAATTAATAACCATGGTTATCTTATTGCTTTGATACATTCCAGAAGAGAAGATTTGATCAAATGATCCGTTCCTGTATTGGTAAACTATGAACCAACCTACCTGGATTTTCTGGGTTAGGACTAGGGATGTTAGATGGCATTGTCGGGCACACTAGTGCGGTAATTTGTTGTCCCAAAGAATGCTAAACAACAGACTTCTCTCCATCTTGGAAACACACAGGCATGCACACACTTAAGCATGCACAGGCATGTGCAAAAACACACCTATGAAACTAACACTCACAGAGACACGATTCTAGTAGTCTTCTTGCTGTTATTACTGAGTAAAACTACGTCCTTGGTCATTCCATTTCCAGTTCAAGATACAATAATTCAGGTCTTCTGGGTGTTTCATGCAGGTCTAGGAGATGAGATGAGGGCATTTGAGATTGATAAGGTTACATCAAGGAAGACTATCGAGAGGCTGTTGGAAGAATTTGGTGGGACGTCAAAACGCTGATGTAGAAAATGATTAAACTAGATGATCAGCGTTCCTAATATTTGTCACTTGGCATGCAAAATTCTTTGTAAACGGTGAAGGAAAATGGAGAAATAAAAGTTGCCAATAGGTGGCTGCATATTCGCAAATATTTCTTGCAGGCAATGTGTGAACGAACCAGACACTCACTGTTTGAGTTCTCTCTCTTTGAGTTGATTTATTGAGCTTTTGTTTTGGTTCCTTGTGTGTTATTTGTGCATTACAGGGAAAATTCAATAGTTGTGAACTTGTGATTGATAGACTGCATAAAGGAAAGGAAAATTGATCTTGACAGTAACTTTGTCATCTTTGGAATGTATATCAATTGTATAGAAAAATGGAACAGTAACTGTTGATGCACGGACTGATGAATTAAAGCCATGACACATCTTGCTGTTTATTGCTGCTTTAATGAGTTTTACCAGAAACATGTTCACAACTTGCAATTTGTAAAGCATTGAGATCTCCTGTTAGAGTGCGTTTGGTTGTGGGGAATTGGAATAAAGTTGAAATTTTGATTCTATAAATTAGGATCAATCAAATTCAATTCCAAACCCGTTGTTTGGAATCATTTTGGTTTTCTTTCTTCCTTCACTCACCATCATTTTAGTCCTAGTGTGGCCAAAAAATCAGGGTCTTTAGCTAACTGCCCAGTAAACAACTGTGCAATTTGAGGACAATATGATTAAAAGTGGGATCATGTAATGAACGCCTCGATTTATCAGAGTCACCAACATAGAAGATGGAATGCCACGAATTTAAAGAAGCTGATTAACCAAATCTGATTTATAATTTGATAACGAGACATGAAACCTCAATTACTTCTAATAAGGGTGAATTGAATTTGAAATTTGAAAAAGTTTAGTTTAACATTTACATTAAAAGTTTTTCAATTTTAAATTCAAGATGTCACCCTTCTTTGATGGGTGCACTGAAACCAGTCTGTGTCATAATATATTTGTATTATTGTTGTTATTTTGTTTTAATATATATCGATCCTCGTTTTTGTCCGGCATGTCTCACGAGCCTGTTGTAGCCCTATTGACTCTTATCAAACAAAAAACAGTGGAGTATCAGGATGCTATTTCCAAATTGACATTAACTCAGTTTCCAGATGCCACTTATATCTTTAACCCTTTTTGAATTGATTAAAGATATGATCAGAAAACAGCAGCCATTAATTACTGAAACAGATTTAATGGTCAAATGCATGGATTTTATGAAAACCAAATTTGTCAATCATTTGGTTCTTCCACTCCCACAGTTCAGGATGACATATCCATGATGTCAGTATCCAGCCAAGAAGGTAATCAGTATTCCTGTCTCACTGGCGAAGCACAAGATCCGAATGAAGATCTTATCCAGGATGAGGACCCCTCTGCAGAAGATTATTGGGATTATTTAACCATCCACTTGAAAAAAAAGATGAAGGCTCTCAACAGTAGAGATTCTCTCTTATCCTGCCGATAGAAGATGACAAAGCACTTTCCCCAAAAATCTTTGTTTCTACAGTACTATTTCTTGTCCGAAGTTGATCATTACTATCCGACAAGAAGAAGCACGTAGTGGCGGGCCACCCGACTGCATTATTCTAGCACACGACATCCAGCCACTATGCGGACTTCAAAATTTAATTTTCAATTTTCTCTCAATGTATCTTTCAGTTTTCTTTTCTCTCTCTCTTGTAATATTTCTCAGTGTACGTTATTTTGAAGTTCAATAAAGAAGAAAGTTTTCTGTAAATTTCAAAGTTATTTAAAATTACTGCTCTCTTTTAATATATTTGTATTATTGTTGTTATTTTGTTTTAATATATATCGATCCTCGTTTTTTGTATCAGAGTTCTGGTTAACATTTGATGTACAACCTCATAAATCTGATAGTCAGATTTACCATCGATGTTCCATTCATAAATGGTTTTCCCATGGAAAGATTTATGGGTATAAAAATAATCCTCTTCATACAAGATATCTTGAGGGGTTGATCTAGGATAATAATATCTACTCGGAGCAAGGGCGGTATTTGAGTGGATATTTTTGTCATAAACAATTTTGTTGAATCTGACACTGTTTCTAAAAATGAATAAAAGTTTTTCAATTTTAAATTCAAGATGTTAATTAGATGTCACTAAACAAAGCTTTAGTTATTTATTTATTTATTATTTTGATGAGAAACTCACATACACCGTGTTATTTTGACTCTAATCACAGAGTGGACTTCAACTTTGAGAAAAAGTAACATAATAATTGTCTTTATTTAATGTAACTCACTTCGATAAAAAAATCTATTGGAACTCTGTCAAAGCTTGGATCCATCTAATTAGGTTCAAAAAATTCTTATAGCGCTGTAAATATTTTCAGGCCACACCAGGCGTATATCTATATATTATTAGTATATATTATAGAGTGGAATGGAAAAAAAAAAAAAACAATTTATGTGCCCAACCTCAGTCATCTGAAATAAGGGCAAGATGGCGAGAGACGAACTCAAAAAATTGTGTAAGAGGAGACAATAAGGAGATTTTTGTGAATTTTATGGGGGGAATGTTAATATCTCATAGTATCTAATCCAAAAATGGAAGAGTTATTTATGGACGGCAATTCATGTCACGAGTTATAATCATCATAACCTATCGAGAGTATTATACTAAATAATTCAACCCGAACATGACCCATTAAGTATTCGTGTCAGGAACCCTTTTATTAAATGAATTATACATGTAACTCGTTTAATGACATATTTACTAAACCAAACAATTATATAATTTAAATTATTAATAATACTCAATCAAATAATAAATATTAAAAATATATAAGTTTCATTCCAACCAAATTACTAAATAATTTATAGTCAACAAAATAGTAAATTATAAAACACTAATTTAGCTAATTATTTTAAAATTTAAATATATATATATATATATATATATATATATATATATATATATATATATATATTTGTTTATGATGCATATAGTTAAGCATATGTAAATGAGTTAGACGAGTTGAACCACCTTAACCCAAACACGACATGATTAATTAAAAATTATTCGGTTAGGTAATTCATTATAAGTGTTCGGTGTGAGTATCATTAATTAAATGGATTAATCGTGTCGACCTATTTATAATCCACACCCGTTTAAAATTAATCCAAACCCTATGTAACTCTCTTCATATTCGAGTTGTGTCAAACTTTACCATCCTAGACTCACCACTGTATTATATATAATACTAAAAAGAAATTTGCTAGGTCTGTTTGATGACAACCATTTATATATTATTACAAACACGCACTAATATAGTAATATGTTTATAGAGTGTAATTCCTATAAATTCTAAAAAATCCCTAACATTCAATTTTTTAGCAAATAAGGGCTTGAATGCTAAAAAGACTAAAGTGTTCCTCTGTAACTGAATAAAAAAGGGTAAAAAAATAATTAAATGTGAAATGACTAAAGTGTCCCTCAATTTTTTTCCTTTTTTTCCTTCTTCTCATATACAAGGGTACTATTGGAAGATATAAGAGTATTTTCAAAATTTTATATTTTAAAAATGTCATGTGCAATGCACTTTAGGCGATCGCCTAAGGCCCAGCTAATTAGAAGGCCTCAAATTTCTTTTTTATTTCCTTATATTATATTATTTCTAAAATTTTTATTTTCTTCTTATTATCATACTCGAGCCAATATAAAGGCCTTCAAAATTTTTATTTTTTTATTTTATAACTTTCAAATTTTTTTATTTGTTTATATTATATACTTCATAAAAATGTTATTTCATTCTTATTATTAAACTCTGCCCAATAGAAAGGCTCCAAAATTTTTTTTGTTTTTCATACATAATAACCTCTTTAAATTTTTTATTTGTATCTATAGATTAAATAGGGGCCAAAAGATTTATTCCTTTTTCTTACCTTTTTTTTTTTCCTCCATCCGCTCCTCGTTCACGTTTCTTTTTTTCCTGTAATTTGTAAAACTTTTCACATTCTTATTTTAACTTTATCTTCTTTGTTTTTGTTTTTTTTCTTCTTTTTATTATTTATGACATATTTTTCCTTCCTTTTTATTAAGTATAAGTTGTATAACTCTAATATCAATTATGTGACAAGAAATATTAATTGGATTGACTATATATCAGATATTAAAAAGTCACTTTTATATTTTTCGCTAAAGGCCTCAAATTATATTAAGCCGTTCTGTGATCATTTTTTCAAACTTAGCGCATTTATATATCTAAAAAAAATTAGAGGTGATATTTATTTAAAATTTAAACATTAAGAATATTTTTCTCATTTTACCCTCAAAATAAATTCATACTTATTATTGTGTAAGGATTATATCACTTGCCATTTAGTCACTAATTTCACACATGCTAATATTTTAAAGGGATAATTTCACTTACCTCCCCTGAGGTTAGGTGTAATTATAAGCGATATCCCTTACGTTTCAAAAATTACACTGATCTCCCTCCAAACTGATCGGCATTTTATTCTGGCCATTTACCATGTTAAATGACTAAAACACCCTCTAATATTTTATTAATATCACATAAAGAATATATATATTTTTAGATTACCATATTGTCCCTAAGGGTATCATCTGCTACCATTTATTTTCCTTTCATTTCCTTTACACGTATCTTATAGCTGGTTAGAGAGAGAAACAGAAGGGAGAGATGGAGAAGAGTTTGATGTGTCGCCTTTACCTTAGATTTGTAAAAACTTTGATCTTCTGTTCTCTTTGCTAGCCGTTACATATATAACCCATTATCATTCAACAAGCAAGTATCGGTACACTTCTTCTGTTAAAGACTTTGATATTATGTTCTATTTGCCACCGATCTGACCCACGTTTCCTCCCCTCACCTGGCCTCCTCGTCCCAAACTCTTTTCCACGCTTCTTCGATCTGACCCACCTTATTCTTCATGGACACCATTGGGATATTCCCAAAGATCTCTCGGCAACAAACCCCTCGAAACCCCGAAAATTGCAACTGGGTTCTGATTAAACACTGTCTCCATGATTCCATCGCCAATGATCCCGGTGTTGATCGCCACCAACCCAATAGATGCGGCAACGTTGAAGTTGGCAGTCATTGGAAGATCTGTGAACGCATCGTCAGTGGGGACAAACATAGCAAATTAGGGCATCGAATTCCTCACACCCAAAGCCGCCAGCATCGATACGGTGTGGCCATTGACGAGGGCTTTCGTGAAGAAGAAGATGTTTACGTTGTGGGGGAGTAGGTGGCAGGGGAGAGAATAGAGACGGTGTCGATCCCCGGGATGTGGGTGATGTTGATGGAGTTGAAGTTTCTAGTTGCACGGCTGGTGGTTTGCTAGAGTGTGGTGACGAGTTCTCAGGTGGCCGGAATCCGAGAGAGGAACTCTTATGTTTTTCTACAATCGCCTTTTTCTCTTGACTCTCTCCCTTTGTGTATTTTTAGGATTTGTTTTTAGTGTTGTAAATATAAATATAAATTTACAGAGGATGTAATTAGTGATCTTAAAAGTGAATCCACTGGTTTGATCAGTGGAATGGTGTATTTGTCTTCATTGCTATAGATTCACAGGAAGAGAAAAAATATAGCTAACATAGCTTTTGGAATCGAAAGCTCATGGAGATGAACAACAACAACAAATTCCAATAGAGTAATATAATTTTAAAAAGATAAAAGTGATAGAATTTAGAGAGATAAACAATTTGAACCAGAAATAGCGAGTTCAAACAAAAAATGAAGAAGAATAATGAACAGAAACCTAATCAATAGATCGAGATCGAGAAATTGAAAACTCAATCATCAAACTAGTGGAAGGATTTGGATGGGTTCTAATTCAGTTAACCATTAAGAAATGGGTCTTGATCAAATTTTCAGTTATTAGGTTCTTATATTGAGAAATTTCAAGAGAGAATATTTAGAGAGAGAAAGTACACATGTAATATTCTATAGATATGGTGGGTTTATGACAAGACCCATTTTCTAGTATTTCTATTAGGTTCCCACGTAAAGAAATTTTAGAGAGAGAGCATATGGAGTAGTATTATGTAGAGATGGTGAGTTTATGAACATGACATGCAAGAGTTTTTTGTCTTTTTATTGGAGGTATATAGGTAATTTTAAAATAAAAGTAAGGATATAAATGTCTTAAAACAACACTAAGGGTAAAAGTGGTATTTCAAGTTAAAAAATAGCTAATGTCATCAAAAACTATAATTGACCGGCATTGACTTTCACCGGAAGGGACAAAGTGTTACGCGAGAGGGAGCTAACCTTGAGGGAGGACGGTATAATTTTTTAAACTTAAGGGATATCGCCTGTAATTACGTTTAACCTCCAGGGACGTAAGTAAAATTATCCCTATTTTAAATTGCACTTTTACATCCTCTCTCCTTAAACGCATCATTTACATTTAAATATGTTTATGCTCTATGAAACCTAATTTTTTGCTCAATAAAAGTCCGTAGGTGACCTCTTCTTCTAAAAATGACACGAACTCTGAACAATCTCAAGAAGTATAAATTTACTCAAACTTCTTAATATCTCGTTATCACTAATTTCTTAATCCTTATCGCTATCTTCTTATTATTGAACCAAAAGAAAAAAATTATAAAAGAATTATCCATAAATTTGTTCTCTGTAGCTCAACGCAAATTCTAACTAAAAGTGTAGTCGCCAAGTTTAGACCGGGTCACGAGTCCGGATTTAGACCAGGCCGGTTCATTCCGGTTTCCACAACACTGGCCATTTTGATCTCCCCCCTCTCTCTCCTCTCTGCCTCTCTCTCTCTCTCTCTCTCTCTCTCTCCAGATCCAAATCAGAGAGAAAGATAGGACGAACAAGCGAGAGAATAAAACGCAGCGATCTCTCTGATTCCCCCGTTCACAGCACTTTTCACAGGACAACGAAACTTCAACCACCTTTTTCTGAAAATACCTTTTCTTCCCCTGTTTCATGTAGATCCATCACATCTACTCTATCCCAGCTCACAGGTTGGTCACATTTCCCTGATCTCTCATTAAATCAAAACCCACTTCTCATTTCTAGGGTTTAACTCAGTTCGATGCATTAAACAACCAGTTCTACGAGATCAATATTTCGCTCAATTCATGGTCTCTAGATCGTGAAAATGGATTCACAGCCTTCCCAATCGGGAAGGTTCGTAGACATTGGTAAGAGTGAAAAAGGCCCTAGCCGGACCAGTTCGGATTCGTCTTTGAACAAGTCATTATCGGATGCAAGTAGCCAAAGCTTAGCTTCAATTCTTAACAACCCCCACGGCGGAGACGCCTCCTGGGTCGGGTGGTGGTCATCGTCAACCGCCGTGACTGCACCAGAATTCGCGCCATTGGTACCGAACAAGGCCGGCTCGGAAGTGAGCAGATCCGATTTTCAGCAATACTTGGTTTCTATCTTTGAACCGTACGGCCGATTTGAGGACATTCGGAATCATATCAACAAAGAGAGTGTTGATTTGGAGAGCATTGGAGGTCAGGGTGAGGCCCTCGTTGCGTGTCTTCGAGAAGTGCCGGCTTTGTATTTCAAGGAGGATTTCGCATTGGAAGACGGAGGAACATTCCGGGCGGCGTGCCCGTTCTCGTCCGGTTCGGAGAATTTGGTGTTGCAAGAGAAGCTGTCACAGTATTTGGATGTGGTCGAATTGCATTTGGTGAAGGAGATATCACTTCGTTCGAATTCATTTTTCGAGGCCCAGGGGCAATTGCAGGACTTGAATGTGAAAATTGTCGAGGGGTGTAGTCGGATCAGGGAATTGAAGGAGACAATAAGGCTCTTGGATGCAGATTTGGTAGATTCAGCACTGCAAATTCACGACTTAAACACGACAAGGAGTAATTATTTGGCTCTTCAACAAAAATTAAGGCTTATATTATATGTCAACCAGGCTCTGTCAGCTCTCAAACTGGTACAATTCTAGTTCCTAGTAGCTTTAATGTGTACCATTTATATATTTGCTTTTTAATATAATTTTTTTTTAAAGCTGTATTATGTGATATTGGCATAAGGTGTTTGATTGAACTCAAGTGGTAGGGATAGTGTGCACATGATTCATTGAAATTTAATACCAACACATACATTTGAGTTGCACACGGTTATAAGTTATAACGAATCGTTTACTTATAGTGGAAGAGGAATTGATTTGTGGAATTTCATAAGTTTCACCAAATTGAGCGGGATTTTGCATTAGTGTTTTTGAGTGCAAGGAAAAGCAAGACTGTCTTATTAGTTTTATCTCAGAGACATTTGCAGTTCTTTAGGGCCTGCTTGGATCCACTTATTTATCTAGAATTTGTTTGGAAGGAAAAAATATGAAAATGTGTTACATACATGTGAGTTTCTTGATAGATGGTAGAAGTACAAGGGCCTATTAAGAAGAAATATATATAAAAGAAAATGATTTGCTGATTTTTGGAAATATGAAATTTAAAGAGTTAAAGGGTGCATGGGTAAGAAGAGACCCTTATTGATTGAGAAGCTATTAGTTGGCATACCAGTTGTTTATCTACCATATGTGGAATGCCAGTTTGCAACATCATTACTTCCGTTGGCAGTATAGATCTTTTGCACTTTCAGTAATTGATCTAGTAGTAACCAAAATTTAGCAATGCATGCATAAACCCAATCTCTCAAACATCTTCAAATTGTTGAAAAGCTTTATTCTACTATTCTCTCATAAATTTTCATGCATTACATGATGATCAGTTATACATATAGTTACATATATATTGCTATTCATTATTGTAATGGAAGCCTTTGGTAGACTTATGAAAAGGGCAGAGGTACTGGGCTTTATTCAAGGTTTTTTGGTGGGGCGTGTGCCAAATCAGATTGTTACATCTCACTTGCTGTTTGCTGACGACATTATTGTTTTTTGCGATGTGAGTGTGAATCAAGTGAGACACTTGAGGTTTGTTTTGGCCTGTTGTCAATACTTGGTTTCGGGGCTGAAGATTAGTATTGGGAAGAGTGTGATTGTTCTAGTAGGGGAGGTGGATCATATTCATGAGTTGGCAGCTATTTTGGGTTGCAGAGTGGAGGCTTTTCCGTTTTCTTATTTGGGGCTGCCATTGGGTGCCTCCACGAGGAGAGTTGCCGTTTGGGATCCAGTGGTGGAACGTTTTCAAAAGAGGTTATCTGGGTGGAAGAAGCAATACTTGTCGAAAGGGAGTAAACTACATTGCTGAAGAGTACCTTCTCTAATCTGCCTACATATTTTATGTCTTTGTTTCCAATTCCTAGAACAATTACTAGTAGACTTAATAACATTCAGGGGAACTTTTTTTTTTGTTTGTGGTGGGGGGGGGGGGGGGGGTTGTTTACAAAGCTCTGTTAGGGAAATGGCTATGGAGATTTGGGTGCGAAAGGTCTGTGCTTTGGAGGCGTGTTATTGCTTATGGGTTTAGGGAAGAGGAGGGAGGTTGGATGTCTAGAGGTGTGTCTTCATCAGCAGGTATGGGTTCATGGAAAGGTATTAAGAGGGGTTGGGACGAATTCTCTAAGCGGATACGATTTAGAGTTAGGAATGGTTGTTATGTGAGGTTTTGGACGGATGTTTGGTGTGGGTATGTGGTGTTGGCTTGTAGGTTTCCTAGACTCTTTAGGATGGTTGAGGAGAAGCATGCGGTGGTGGTAGATTATTTTAGGCTAGAGAATGGGAGAGCTTGTTGGTATTTGAGATTTCGCAGAAATTTTAATGATGGGGAGTTGTTGGAGTTTACCGATTTAATGGGATTAATTTATAGTCAAGCGGTGGAGGGGGAAGGGAGGGATGAGATGGCGTGGATGGGGGATTCTAGAGGGGTGTTTAAGGTGAGGTTGTTTTATCAAAGCCTTACGAATTCGATAAGCAACAGCTTCCCTTAGAAAGCTGTATGGAGGGCTTCAGTTCTACTGAAGGTGGTTTTTTTCACGTGGACAGTGGTGCTTGGCAGCATTCTTACTCTTGACAATCTCAGAAAAAAGACGCCAAATAACAGTTAATTGGTGTTGCATGTGTAAGAAGGCGGGCGAATTGATTAATCATCTCTTGCTGCACTGTAAAGTGGCAGCGGATGTTTGGAGTTTGGTCCTGAAATGTTTCTGGGGTAGATTGGGTGGTGTCAAGTAACACGATGGATATGTTACAGGCTTGGAGAGGGAGACCAATGGGCAGTCGGGCTAGGAAGGCGTGGAGGGTTGCACCTCTTTGTATTTGGTGGGGGTTGTGGCACGAGCGGAACCAGAGATCTTTCGAGGGAAAGGAGTTGCTGGTGTGGGTTATTAAGGCGAATATTTTGCATTCTCTTTATTCTTCGGTTAATGGGAAAAGTTTCCCATCTATGGATAGCTTTTTGGATTTTGTCGACAACTTATTGTTATAATGGCGCATTTTGCGTATTTTGTTTGCTTTGTTAAGGGTTCGCTCCCCTCTGAGCGCCTTTGGTAATATATTTTTACTTATCACAAAAAAAAAAAAATTTTTTGATAAGGACATAAACTTGTGATGAAGAGCGAAAGAGATGTACAAAAAAGAATGAGGGATCCGCCTAAAACAACAATGAAACTAAATAATAATCCTGCCCTAACCTAAATAGTTAAAACGAACCCAAAAAGGGTATAAAGGGTACCAAGAGCATTTTGTCCCGAACCATATCAAACATTGGAAATCTTGGCCTAAAAATTCCAGCATTCCTCTCCATTTAATGGCAGAAGAAGTACCAAGTAATTTATGTTTTTCTTCCACTCCAAAGCTGCAAAAGAGATCACTAACATCTGAGAAGTATTTGAAGGTGCAACCTGACAATTTCCAGGCAACATGATAAATACTAGCTGTCCTACATGAGATGTTGGAAGGGAAAGACGGGGACAAAATCTTAGATCCAGACTTTCGTTGTTTCACATGTTAGTTTGAGTTCTTACCATTGCACCAATCAGTTATTCCTTTAAGGAGAATCAAATGAAGGATTTTCACAAAATTTAATTAAAGTCTGACCAGATTAAAAAGTTCGACCATACACGAAAATTTATCAAAGGGATATGGCTATTGTTTAGTAGAGAGAAAGATTATACCTTGGAAGTCCTTAGAGAGGCGGTGACTATGGGATTTTATGATTTTCTGATCGAAGAAGACTCTAACAGTGTATTTAGGTGGATGAATAAGCAAACTATTAGTCCTTGTGCCTTTTTCAATTTGTTGAGAGATCATAGATTTATTAACTTCTCTTCAGGCGACTACTACATGGATTCTTAGGTTGACAATAGTTTGACAAAGAGAGGGGTGACTATCCTTGAATGATTAAGAGGACACTTTTGCCTCCTTGAGGAGAATTGGGGCTGTTTTGTGGTTGCTGTGACTGATTTTTGCATGCTGGCTTCCCCTCTTTCTCTAATTTAATTTTTCTATTCTTCCTCCTTATGCAAAATTCTCACAAAAAATAAAAAAATAAAAAAAATAAATTAGGGATGTTTATAGAATTCAATAAATAATTCAACCATATTTTGAAGAAAAAGTAACATATTTGAAGGTCTTATGAAAGGATTTGGATTGCTGGTGGGCTAAATGACGTTCTAGTGTGTACAAATGCAGAAACATGAGTGCCTAGAGACATATACATACCATACATACATATCCCTTGTCTGTGTCCTATATATATATTTTTGATAAGTAAGATTTTATAAAAAGCGCTCAAATGGGAGCGAAACCCAAAGAAACAAAAGGCCACAAAAAAGCCTCAAGCCTTCAAAGAGGCCAAAAAAATAACAATCTCATCAATAGAACGATAATCTCTCCCGGAGACCCAACAAAAGAGAGTGGAAATAATGGAGAACTTGAGCACATTTCTTTGTTTTAAAAATTCACTATGTTTATTTGTTCAATCATTTGTGTTAGTTTTCCTTGTTTGTGTCAATGCAACTTAGCTGATGTCCTTTCAAAAAATATATTTATTTTAGACAACTACTTTTTGGTTGCTTGATTGTTCTGCATTTTATCCTTGCCATTTAATTTCTCACTACCTTATGTAACCCCTTTTGGCTTCTGCCTTTGCGTAGTCTTCGGGATGGGTTCCCCTTTTGAACGCTTTCTAATACAGCTTTACTTATAAAAAAAAAGTTAGTTGAAGCAGTTGCATTCATTTCAATAGTAATTTCATAGGGAATATTTTTCTTGTGGAAATTATCTGCCGCTTCTTTAACACAAAGAAATGGAATGATTCATGGTTTGAAATTTTTTTAAGGACTATTTTTGTTTATTAATTATTAATTGGCAACTTTGTTGATGATTGGGCATGTTAAACTGATCCTTTTCTTTCCTGCTGTATACAGCTTGTTGCATCAGCAGATTGTGCTGGAGCTTTAGATGTCACTGACGATTTGCAGCATTTGCTGGTATATTTTCAACTATTGAGAAAAAAATTATTCACCTTTATTGCTTTCTAGTTCTGAGTTGCTGTCTCATATCAACTTCTTGTTATCATGATTTGACTTTGAAAGTTTTAGCTGTTTTCTCTTTCTTCATTCTTTTTCTCCTCATATGAAGGAAGTACTAGTGAGTAGGTCAACATATTAGGTGGATTTAGTGATTGGATGAGAATCAAGAAGTTTGACATAGTGGTTGATGTTTTACTTTGCAAAGGACCAAGTTCTTATTTCTGTCTCTCTCTCTCCTCTCTCTCTGATTGTCTTTGATTTATTTTATTTTATTTTATTGGTTCTATTGTTGATTGATTTATAAAAGCTGTTGATGTTTGCCGGCTCCACCATAAGGAACAACTAAGTGTTAAAATTGTTTAAATCATAAAAAAATTAAACTCAGTCAGCTGGATCAAATTTTATGACTGGAAACTGCTGTGGCTTTATGATGATCATCACCGTTCCAAATATGCCTCTTCCAAGTGATACATAGTCTTTAACGTGTTCAATTATAAAACTATTTTTCCAAGCCTACTGCATAAAAGAAAGACTACACTTATCCAAAATATAAAAAAAGAAAGACTAACATACATGTTCTTTTTCAATATCGAATTTTTGGTGGGGAAAAATAATTTCTTTGGGAGGAAACCATGATAGAAAAGTTTAACTGCAAAATTTCTCTAAAAAAATAGAGGGGTTATTGGAGTTTTGGGTTGGAGTCTATCTTGTTTTGGGAACTTTAGGATTCCCTATTGGGTAAGGACTCTAGTTTGGAATCTTGATTCCCAAGTTATTTACAATGATAGTGATAAAGATGCTCTGGTGGTGCAATGTGTGCTTTGGTGGCGATGTCATACCATGGAATCAAAACTCGTGAGATTCCTTTATAATCTAGAGTTAGAGGATGTTAATTGGTCCTTTCTAGGACATGTCACATTTCATGCAGGGATCTAAAGGTGGGGAAAATTAAATATAATTATTTGTTTATTTCAATAGGATGGCGATGAGCTGACTGGTCTACACTGCTTTCGTCACCTTCGGGATCATGTAGCAGCTTCAATAGATTCCATAAACAGGTTAGTCTATTCAATAGTGATGATATATTTTTTTCTTCTATAAACTCTATGCTAATTTTTGTGCTTTGATAACTCTTTGCTTTTGTTTTACCTACGTTACATGGATACCGGTATATTTCTAAATGTTAGATCTGTTAGATCTCCAGAACCAAGCAGTACATAGGGGACATGGCTAAATGTTCATATTTTTTAATATATTCTTAACTTTTTAGGTGAAAATGGTGTTTTCATGTAACATAGAGTTCTTAACATGGACACATCTCTCATTTTTGAAGTAATAATGTAACAAAAGAAATATGTTAAGAGTGCTCTATGAACAATTATATCAAGCGTGAATATTCGGGCTTCTAAGGTGCTTGTTCTACCAAACTCGTACCCATACGTAAATTTTGTGTTCGACTTGGATACTTCACTCATTTAGAAGAGTCCATGTAACATAGGTTTCTCGTTGTCCTATAAATGTTCTATTAAGACACTCTCCTTTATTGTGATGAGAGAACAATGCCACTTGCCTCATGCTTAAATCCTCTAAACCTTTGCTTAGTAGTCTGTACCGCTTTTTTTTCTTTTTTCTTTTTGTTGGTAATTACCGCTAATTATTTTGCTTTTAGCCGACTTATTATTCTTCATCCAGAACTACCTTAATAATTATTGTTGGAACTTTCTTTTGCTAATATATATATATATACATACATATATTACTTTGAATATAGTATGACTTATCAAATTCATTCTTGTAGCATTCTTTCAACAGAATTTATGCGTGCGTCTATACATGATGCTGGAAATATGGATGCAGTAATATTGTCAAAAGCAAAATCAAGGGCAAACATACCCACAAATGGAGAAGACGATGAAGTAAGCATGACTATGCACATGTTTCTAACTTTCTTCCTGTTTTTTAAATGGAACTTTTTGATTATTTTGGCATAGTTTTTTAAATTTAGGGTATCTTCAAGTCTCCGTAGGGACAAAGTAGGTGTGTGAGTTACTTGTCAGGACCAAAAAAAAAAAAAATATGCATGAAAAATAAATATATTATGAGTATCACAAGAATTTTACAACTACTGAATCATGTGATTATTAACAACCTTTTTTGATAGAGAAAGATGTGATGTTGTGGCCCGAATTTGGTGCCGGGTCACGTTGCAACCCGGTGACCCGTTGGACTTCGGGGGCTTGCCTTGAGGAAAGTTTTTGCTTGTGGGTCGTGGACCATAATTAATACTCTCTTGTAGCCCAATATATAAGGGCGTTTAGGGTTTGGAGTGGGATGAGATTGAGACACATAAAATCGTACAGAAAGAGAGTGAGGGGCTGAAACTTGTAATCTCCTATTTTTCGCATAGTGAAAACTTTCACCGGTTCTCCACTATAGATTTAGGCTTTGCCGAACCATTTTACATCTTTGTGTTCTTTGTGTGGTGTGCTTACTTTTATGTCGTGTTTCTTGATTTACTCTTTGGTTCGCTGCATTTGTTGTAAAAAAAGACATAACAAGAATATTAGGCATGTTTTTGTGTATGATTGTAGATATGCTCATGTATATGTGTGCACATAATTTGATGACTTCTCTCCTACTCCCATGCTCACTTTTTCAATAAAACTTCTTTTGTGTAGATATTGGTTAAACTTTATATTAATTCTTTTAAACCTTCAATTTGATTCTTTTATTTAACAATTATACATTTTTCTTTTTAAATATTTAAAGAAACTCTTTTTTAACATTTAGAATTCATTGGTTATATGTTAGCACATGTTTAAGAATTCTCTCTCTTGTACTCAATATTAAGAACTGTATTTTTAAAAACCCGAACATGTTTAGGATGTGTTGGGCCGTGACGGCGTTTCTTAGAAGTGCCCATGCTTCTTTGCTCTAGTGTTATCTACACAAAGTTACTGTCCACAGATTTGAATCACATTCTTAAGCTTTGCTGATTGAACTTCTATAGCAACAATCAGTACCCCCTTATCTCTGATCTATTTTCTTTCTGTTCTAAGAATGTATTTTGGGCATTCCTGGGTATCTTATTTTCCATATTTAATATGCACTATATTTAAAAAATTTCCATGGTTCTAATGTGATATATACTTACCAAAGGCTGTGTAGCCTAATGGCCCTAATAGCAATGGTATCTCCTCTACCTCCCGAAGTGTAAGGTGAGGGTTCAAGTCGCCGTAGGGACAAACGGGTGTGAGTTTCTTACCAATGAAAAGAAAATGTGATTTATAATTTTACCTTCCATTTTTTCTTTTTGACTACTTTACTCAATCATTTTTTGTATGATTTCCTGTACTTGGTTATGCATCTATTTAACTAATGACTGGACTTGACATTTAATTAGGTTAAATTGGATGAAGAAGAATCCTCTAATTTCCGAGATCAACTTCTTCCTCTTATAATTGGATTGCTTAGAACGGTGAGTAATCTACAATTTTTATATGTAGCTTAATCCTATAGCTGAAATTATGATTTTAAAGGTTTTATAATTTAGACAAACTACATTGTATTGTTGATCGTGCTAGTATTGCTTTGGATAAGAAACCAGGAGTTCTTTTTTAATAGGTAAAGTAATCAACTAAAGGCACTGAAAAGGAAGATAATCTCTTTTTTTTTTTTGTTTTTTTTTTTTTTGATAAGTAAAAGTGTATTAGAAAGCGTTCAAAAGGGAATGCATTCCAAGAGCTATGCAAATACAGAAACCAAAAAAGGAGTCATATGGATCCAAAGAACCCAAAAAGTCTACTTTTTTTATTATCTAAAGATACACAATTTCTCCCCATCACCCAACTTAAAAAAGAACTAATAATAGAAAACTTCAACGCCTCAATGGAGGATTCCTCCCCATCAAAAGATCTTCTATTTCGCTCTTTCCAAAGACTTCACCAAACACAGAGGGGGCTCGCCCTCCAAGAGTCACGAGCATGAACCCCCACCCCGTGGCCCCTCAAGCGTCAATCAAATCCCTTGAAGTCCGGGGCATAACCCATTGGACGTCAAATAGACCAAAAATAAGACTCCAGCAGTCATGAGCCACAGGATAATGCAAAAGAAGGTGATCCACAGACTCTCCATCATTCTTACACAGACAACACCAGTTCACTGTGATTTTTGTTCTCTTTCTCAAATTGTCCAGAGTTAAAATCTTGCCCCAAGCTGCAGTCCAAACAAAAAAAGCCACCCTGAGAGGAGCTTTTGAATGCCAAACCGTTTTTCACGGGAAATTGGAACTGTGAAACCCGGAGAGGCCGAGAAAAAACAAACGGACCTGAAAAGTCCCTACGCATAAGGCACCCAAGTCAAGGAATCTGAACCAGTATCATCCACCTCCTGTCTATACCAAAGGCCCAGCAAGCTAGTCACATCGTCTAACTCCCAATCCTGAAAGGATCGTTGGAATCGCACATCCCAAGTAAATCTACCACTATCGAGTCGATAATAGTCAGCTACCAAAGCATGTCTATCAACAACAATCCTGAACAACCTTGGGAACAAACAAGACAATGGGCGATCCTCGCACCAAGTATCCTCCCAAAATCGGACATCCCTTACCTCCTGATTTCTGAATCTAATATGCTTATAGAACTCATCGCATTCCTTCCGAATGAATTTCCACACTCCCACGCCGATAGCAGATCTGACCGACCTAGATGACCATCCTCCTCTTTCCTCCCCAAAGCGACATGAAATAACCCTCCTCCATAACCTATGCATTTCGCTACCGAATCTCCATAACCACTTGCCTAGGAGCGCTCTGTTGAAAGGGGCCAACCTCCTAATCCCAAGACCGCCCAATTAAAAAGGCTTGCAAACCTACTCCCACCCGACAAGATGAAACTTAAACTCCTGCCCCCGGCCACCCCAGAGGAAGTTCCGTTGAAACATCTCGAGTCTTCCAACAATAGAGAAAGGGATCTGGAAAATCGAAAGATAATAAGTTGGAAGATTGGACAATGTACTCCACTAAAGTAACTTTCTCACCCTCCGAAAGATATTGCTTTTTCCACCCAGCCAACCTTCTCTCGAAATGGTCTATCAGCGGGTCCCAACTTCCCACCTTCCTTGACGAATCACCCAACGGCAAGCCCAAATAAGAAATAGGGAAATGAGCTCGTCCCACATTCTAAAACAGCCGCAAGAGAAACCTCCTTCTGAACCTCCCCCACAGGAACAAGCACACTCTTGCCCACGTTAACTTTCAAACCTGAAACTGTCTGAAAGGAAACCAAAACACATCTCAAATATCCCAGTTGGGACACACCTGCCTCACAAAAAACGAGAGTGTCATCCGCGAAAAGCAAGTGAGAGATCTCTATCTACTGAACTGAATCTGGACCCATCCTAAAACCCCTTATAAATCCCAAATCCACATCCCTTATCATTAGCCTACTAAGAGCCTCCATAACAATAATGAATAGGAAGGGGGAAAGGGTATCCCCTTGCCTCAAACCACGAGAATTGCCAAAAAACCCGGATGGAGACCCATTCATTCACCAACGCATAAAATCTGACAGAGGAAATGCACGCCCAGTGGCGTAGCCAGAAATTTTCTTCTGTGGGGGCAATCTTTAATAACAATTATATATAAATATATGTATATATATATATAATTTGAATCAAAACAATATATGTAAAATTAAAACATTAATTCATAAAATTTCTATTCAGTACATTCACATCGATTTTTCAGATTCCGTTTAAAATTAAGTTCATTCAATTAAATGTACTAAAAAAAAAATCGAATTGAATGAATCAAGAATAAGAAATGAAAAAGAAAATAATACAGTTACCTAACTATTCTAATATATCACATATGTGAAAAAATAAAAACACAAACTAAAATTTAAAAGAACAACAAACCCTAAAATAATTTTGATAGTAATAACTAATAATTTTTCTAATTAAAATTATAATATCAAATAATAATAAATATAGATGATAAAAAAAAAAATATCAAATTACCTGTCTACCGCACTGCAGTATGACTGACTGAGTCTCTATCTATTGGTAAATGGTTGCTTGGCTTGCTTTGTTTGGATTGTGAAAAATGTTGAAGATGAAGATGTGATGAAAATAATCCGTTTGTTTATGGTAAAGTCAAAAAGTGTGGTAGAATATCTTGATGATTTTTTTTTTTTTAAGTGGTAAAGAATATAATAATTTGGGAAAGTAGAAATAAAATATCATATTTTTTGGGAAAGTATAAATTGATAGATATATTTTATATATTTACAGTTGTGTCATGATTATATTCCTCCCATGAATGGGCTTTTGGTTATATATATATATATATATATATATATATATATATGTATGTAGTATATTATGTGTACATTGTCAAATTTTAGAGGGGGCAACAATACAAATATAAAAATCTTTCCATATAAAATTTAAAAAAATTAAAAGTTCAGTGGGGGCACTTACCCCCACTTGTCCCTCTGTGGCTATGCCACTGTGCACGCCTCGATCCAACTCCTCCATCTCTCTCCGAAACCCATCCTCTTTAACAGATAAAACAAGAAATTCCAACTAACACGATCATAAGCTTTCTCAATATCAAGCTTACACAAAACTCCAGGAACACCGCTACTCAACCTATGATCCACACATTCACTGGCAATGAGAGTGGAACTCCAGGATCTGTCTGCCCAATAAACGCATTTTGAGATTAAAAAATGACTCCGTCCCGAACCTCCCTCAAAAAGGACTTTAGTGATAGGCTTATAGATACACCCAAGCAGACTTATTGGTCTAAAATCCTTGACGTCAGAAGCACCACCCTTCTTAGGAATTAGGGCAATGAAAGATGCATTCAGCGATTTTTCGAACCTCCCATTAGAATGGAACTCATGAAAAGTGCCCATAGCCTCCTGTCTCACCACCTTCCAGCTTTCCAATAAAATCCTCATTGTGAAACCATCAGGACCCGGAGCTTTGTCAACATTACAGCTCTTCAAAGCCATCAAAACCTCATTATCTGAAGTGGGATTCTCTAACCCATCCCTATCCACTGCTGAAATAGAGTCAAAATGAAGGCCATCGAGCCGTGGCCTCCAATGGTACTCTGGGAGAAAGAAATAATCCCCCTACACACCTCCTCCTCTGTACTCAACACCGTTTCGTCCATAGTTGTTAAAGACTCAAGGCGCACAAAAAGCGCAAATGCCTACTGGAGCCTGAGGCGCAAGGCGCACGGCGAGGCACGCGCCCGACTGAAGCAAGGCGCATGTTGAAAAAAAAAAAAAACAAAACCCGCCCAATAAAGTATTAAAGATGCAATTGTATATATAAAGATGCAAAACTCAAGTAAATGAATTACTTAAGTTCAACTTATATATATATATATATATATATATATATATATATATATATATCCCATGTTTGGATGCTGCATTAATTGATAGAAAATTTGAGTTCATCTTGCAAAAAACACATGGATGTGCTATTATTATTTTTAAGACTTTTAAGTCAAATCAAATCTTGGGACTACTTGACAAATAATAATAATATTATTTTTTGTTTTGTTTGTTTTTTAAAAGAAGATAAATCTACCCATCCTGTGACAACTTCTATGATCAATTTTTTTAATAATAATCAGTTCATTATTGTTGGAGTGAGTGAAGTTTAAATTCGTTCTTCATTATGGTGGTGGTAATGTTTTATTGTAAACTAATTTAGAAGTAAAAAAAAGATCCTTTTTACTATGGTGGTAATGTTTTGTACAACTGATATAGTACTGTCTCTAATTGCAATAAGTCACCAAATTTTATACTATTAGACTTTACTCATCCTCTAAAACTATCACAAAGCAGCAGTCAGTCACAACATAAATTTGTCAAAATAACTTTAACTTGTGTAAATAAAAAATAATGATAATTACGGGCAATAATAGAGACAAGCATGAAAATAGAGACAAGCATAAAAACAGAAGCAGATTGATCATCAAAGTTCAAACACATGCAAGGCACTAATCTAGACAAAAAAAAAAAAAAACAGAGGACATGTTGGAATAAAAATAGAGGGCCAAATTGGCCTAGCCTAAAAATAAATAAAAAAATAAAAAATAAATAAAAAAATCTGCCAGAGTGCCAGACTCGAGAGAGCCGAGAGAAGAAGAAGAAAAGAAGAAGGAAAAAAAAAATAAAAATCTGAGACTGAGAGATGAGAGATCCGGGCCTCCGGCACATCCGAGAAGAGAAGAAGCGAGAAGAAGAGAAGAAGCAAGAGAGGGAAGGAGAACTTACCGGCAGACGCAGATCCGAGACTGAGAGACGCAGATCCGGCATATCCGAGAGTCCGAGACTGAGATTCGCTGCCTCTGTCTCTTACTCTGTTCTTTCCCTTTGCTTTTTGGTTCTCTTTTTTATTTTTTATATTTTATTTTTGTTTTGTAACTTGTAGCTTTTGTAATAATAAAAA